TGATATTAACTATTTTATGCTTCAGGAACGGAATATCCTATCAGTTCAATGACGAATGCCACGTTTTCAAATGGAGACTTTCGCCCCATAAAACCCCGAAAAAAAACACGAAGTTCAGCAGGAGACGTTAGCCGACGTCGACAGTGAAGAAGAAGAAGAGGAGACTGAGGGGACCGCCTCTGGGAGATTGTTTTATTGTCCAAACGAAGGGTGCGTTCGTGTCTATACCCGTTACGGATCTATGGTCAATCATGTTACCTACGGAAAATGCGACTTCAGAGAAGAAAGAGAATCTGTGATGGACACTGCAAAGGTCTTGTACAGTAAAAAGCTTTGGGTCAGTGATGGTCGTATTTCAGCTACAGCAAACGTCCATTGCAATCAAGCAACATCAAGCGGCTTACACCAGAACGAAGAAGAAGGCTGGGCACTGAAATCGATCAAGAAAAAAACAAACCTTTCAGTGACAAACAGAAAAAATTCCTAGAAGAAAAGTTCATGGTTGGCGAAACGACGGGAAGAAAGTTGGACCCTGTAACTGTAGCCAGAGAAATGAAAACTGCTCGCCAAGATGGTAACGGAGAGAGAGTTTTTTCTCTTCAGAAGTATTGACCGCGACCCAGATTCAAAGTTTTTTTTCTCTAGAAGGGCAAGATGTGGGAGATTTTCCGAAAATGACCCAGAAAATCAGGAAGCTGTCCAAGTGGAAGAAGAACTTGAAGACTTTCGGAGAGATGTAATAGAGCAAGTGCAACCCAGACATCCAATCATGTATGATGTCCACAACTTGTGTGATCTTGTAGCTTCAGGGAAACTAAAGAAACTCACATTACCGAAGCTGAAGGAAATCTGTAGCGCTTTTGAGCTGAATCTTCCTGAGGAACGGAAGAAAGCCCCTTTTGTAGATGCGTTGACCAAATTAGTTAAGAATTGCTCGTGTTGGTCCTCTTGAATGACAAATTGTATCAAATCTCCACAAATGTGATTAAGTCAAAGCATAACAGTCCCTTTACATGTAAGTTGTACAATGAGGTTACAATAAGCTTGGACTTAAGGGAGTACTCCTGGCTTTTTTTTTTTTGGAGAGGGAGGGGGGTGGGGGGTGATAGAGGTATATACATTTGCCAGTTAGTTCTCTAATAGGCTCAGAGGCACCTTGTTGTAGTGGTGGGCTATCTGGCATTGTCTTCTTATTATTCACTTCATATCTCAACAACCCTCAAATCCAGTATTTTCCAATTTTCCTGAAATGTTTAACACCCCCTCCCTCAATTTTCATACATTAAAACCCCTCGAAAAGTTATTCAAAAATTTTTAACTTTTTGAACATAGGAATCTGAAGGATAATTGATTCATTTTTTGAATGAATGAAAACCAGCACTTTAAACCAGAGCCCCCATAGGCTACCTTGAATCCATTTTTAATAATCCTTTATCTCGCGAGGAAAAAAGCGAAAAAAAAAAAGGTTAGTTGAGGGGAGACTGGTGAGAAGGCCCTGCCGAGAATCGGTTCGTGCTGTCTTGTCTGTGCTTTTCTTAAGCTATTTATGTTCACACTATACCGAGTATCTCTTCATGCTGACACGAAAAGCTATCTGGAAAAGTATGAATACCTATCGGATATGTGACACTCCACTTTATAATTTGGCGCAGCAAAGCGCTTCGCTCCGTTACAGGAATCGCGCTGAAACCACTGTTCTAATGCGTGAGCAAAATTCCTATCCATATTTTTATCGTGTCGGCGCAAAAGGTATCTAGTGTGAACATAGCTTTAGCTTTAGGTGTGTAACAAGGTCCAGGCGTTCAGTGAGAGGGGCGCCCTTGGCTGATTTTTGTCCTTACATCTCTGTGTCGTCCCTCTAATCTGAAAGCCTGGAACAGACTATTTCGGGGTGAAAAATTAGAAATTAATGGCAGTAACCACTTGTTAGGAATGAGGCTACCATCCATAGTAAAAAAAAGTAGTTTATGATTTCTCGATTGATACATATATTTTGTCGAACGACCCGTAACTGATTGATTATGACAGGGTTGAGGAGATTTCAGTACCTCTGGTATCTACCTAGCTCAGTGAGGCTTCCTGATCCATAAATCTGTAGGGGAGGGGTGTGTGAAGAAAAAGTAAAGAGAGCGTAACAACGTGCGGGAAACAAAGGTGTCGTTGCAAAGATTAAAAATAAAAGGTAAAGCATCACAAATTATGTTACATGACTTCAGGCCTTTTTTAAAAATTTCTATTTCATGTATCGATGTTGACCTACTCCGAGTCGTTCTTGGGAGGGGGGGGAGTCGTATTAGTAATTTGGGGCGCAAGAAAATCTGAGACTCTTTTCGTTGCTTTTGTAGGTTAAGTAATGCAATTTTTCACTAAGTATAAATGTCCAAAATGATTACAAATAATTTTTCTTGGAGACTTGCTGAAAACCCTAACATTTTCATAAGAAACTTCGAGCCACGATTTGGGTTGAACGATCAAAAGAATTGTACCTTTGCCACGCCCAATGTGTGAAAACCGGAAATAGTGATGTTCATTTCAGACCCTAAATAGTGATGCTCATTTCTTAGAGCGGGAGCGTCAAGAATATAGGAAAGGAAGTGTAGAGTTAAAGGAAAGTTGATTCCCATCTCACACCACAAGGCAAGTGGTTTTATTTAGCTTTAATATCTTCAAAAACTAATTATCTGGTTTTGATTTGAGCATGATAATTGCGAGCAGTTGTTGTTAGGTGTTGTCGTTCCGGCTGCTCGAAAGCAGGAGTTGTAACGCCATGCAAAACTCAGTTGAACGTGACTACCGACGTTTCGCAGAGAAAAAGCCGTTTTGAGATATCTCTGAATGTGGAAATTGTACGTCTTTATATATTTTGTTTCAATTTTTCTCCTTTGTGATATCTTTCAAAAGTTTTAGTTTTGGGAAAATTACGATTTAGTTCCCACGTGGGGACGGTACCCGTAAATGCACAAGCAACACATTTATATTTATAGTTTACCATTCCGCTGATAAAATCCGCCTTTTTGCAGTGTTTCTGACAGCAATTCTGTCACTGCCATTAAAGAGGCCATTTTTGATCTACTTTTTACTCAGATTTGGACAGAAATTCTTTTATTTATCACTATTTTTGGCAACATCAGTGAGCATTTGTGTGTAATTTAATTAGCAAAGCGACTAGAACTTGCTGCCCATTTAATAAATTTCTTTCTGTCGCGTTGTATTTGCCCAATTTTTTTATTAACGAATTCGATTTGGCTACAAACAGTCAGTATTTAGGCAAAGCAGCAAGTTTCAATCCTGTGTGGCAAGGGAGATATACGCCTTTGGATTGTTAGTAATTTTGAGAGCATAAATTATGCAAAAAGTGTGCACGACCGAAAGTTGAGCCAGTCTCAGCGAAAACGCTGCTATGTACGGAGTAAACTTCAAAATTATAATAAGGAAGGATAGTTTTTGACATGTATCTCATCAGTGATAGAATTGCTTCAAAGACAGGCTTGTAGTTGGATTCGTAAAACCTCCTTCGATTTAACCAATATGGCGCGGGGCCGAAGGTTCCCCAAAACGGTCAAGTTGGTAATTTTCAAAGTAAGAAGATTTAGAACCTAAAAATATTCATTTCTTATTTAAGACCCAAAACCAACTTTACATGCTAATTTTCAGCCAATTCGGTGAGATAGCGTGGCAGCGACTTTTCAATATAGTTCGAATCTTACAGACAATTGCTCTTAAACAGCACACACACTTAAAAAAATAGAAATAAATTTTGTCCATGTTAATGCTCATAAACATGCCATATTTAGCCGAAATTTTGGGCTCTAAAAAAATTCTACTGACGCTTATGAGCCGACTCGAAAAGCACGTGACCTCCTTAGATTGTCTTTTCTTTTACGTAGTACAAGTTTGTAAATATGTTTTATCCAGTTGTCCATGAATATCGATGCACTGTAAACGGAGTAATAAAGTTGAAGTGATAATAAATTCGAGCGCGACTGGCAGGCGCTCGGAATATTGGCCTTTCCAATAGTGGACGTCTGTCTAGTATTAATACGAGAACTTGAAAATGCCCACACATATTAAACGTCAGACGAGTGAAAAGTCTAAAGGTAAGTGTGTCTAATCGACGCACTTAACGTGACTAAACGCCTTTGAACAGTTGCCCCGGATGACTCGAAAATGACGTCGCTCTTGACGTTGGACTTCACAGCCAGGCGTTTAAATCATCGCTGACGTATCACGTCCTCCAGGGCAAAGACATCCAAAATTCAGCGCACAATATAGCTGTAGAAATATTCTTCTATCTTTTTTTTTTATTTTTTATTTTTATCAACTTTGAACAAGGCGCATGTTAAGTAAGTGTAAGTACTTGAAACATTGCTTGTGAATATGCAAATACTTGAGAAACAAGACTGGCTGTACATCTGTGAGAATGTAAATACAGTGGAACCTTGATATAACGAGCCTCTATATAGCGAAGTCCTCGGTGTAACGAACGATTTTCTTTACCCAAGTAGTGGTAAAATATATGAAAAAGAAATATGACGAAACCTCGAGGTTCCACTGAATGGCACTTGCCAACCTGGCTCAAAAAAGCTTTGCCTTGTTTTGTCTATACGAGCAAAAATAAATGGTACAGGCTTGCAGCAGAAGTAAACAATTATATAATTGTATTGTTTATTACACCACGTTGCTAGGGGACAACGCCCACTTGAAGGTCAGGCGACCAGATTCACGGTTCGCAATGCATGCTCCTTGATCTTGCGTGTTGAACAACTTTCTTCAGCTAACAGACTTGAGTTTACCAGAGCGTTGTGTAAGGCTGGCGAAAGATCATCGTCTTATTCATTGTTTTCGTTGGTTCCAAGCGCCCAGCTGTGGAATGTAGCTTGAAGAGACGTATCAAGAACAGAATGATTCATTCTTTATGGCTTTCCAGTCGAGCTGGAAAGAGATTTTAGGCATCGAAACGACAAGATAGTGAGACCTGGTGCATCGCGCCTGTCCTCGATATGCAGTCCAAACGAGAGAGGGAGGGCGACCGCGAGCGAGATAGGAAAGCTTCTCGACCTAGTCGAGGTAGTTTACACTCGCCGAGAAGTAGTTCTAGTTCTGGGTCTGGGGTAATGATGGTTGGACCGAATTTTCGTGTTGGTAAGAAGATTGGATGTGGAAACTTCGGTGAACTACGACTTGGTACGAATAATGGATTTGTCGTTACCATATTTTGCGGATTTATGATGTCTACACCATACCCTTTTAGCGTCTTATCATGTCAAGCTTACGCTATCTTTTTTTTTCTCCGTCTATCTGACATTTGTAGGGAAAAATTTGTACAACAACGAGCATGTCGCCATCAAACTGGTGAGTCGTAACCACTTTAAAATTGCTGTCGCTTTTGTTCGGTTCTTTCATGACGAAATACAAGATATATTACCGCCAACTGAAGGCAAATATCATATTCTTTCTTGGCAGGAACCCATGAAATCTAGGGCACCACAACTTCATCTGGAATACCGATTTTATAAGGTGCTTGGAAATGCTGGTAAGTGGTAGTAAGTAATTCATGAATACACAGCATAAAAACTTTTAGTTTTGCCGCAAAAAGTTGATATGCGGCGTGCAGGAAGTGACAACATATATAGCGACCCTTTGTATTCCTTTTAACGGGCTGTTGATCGTAAGACACAGCCAAGCGTAGATAGCTGTGGTTACCCTAAGCATCCTTTGCTTAAATTTAATCTCTTCCCGAAGATTTCGACATTTTCATTTTCTCTTTCTGACGTAGCGTATCGTATGTTTATTTGTGGTATTCCCCATGTTACTTGACCTGTATTTCCAGTGGGTAATATTCCTAATCCTTGTACATTTTTCGATAGAAGCGATAAGGCAATGAAAAACTCTGTAAATGCTATTCAACGCTGAAATTTTGGCCTTCTTTCTCTTCACGTATGTGGTAATTTTTGGGAATTTTCAGAATGAGATTTAGGTTTTTTGCTATGAATTTGAAAAGATCAATTCCTCGGTCTAAAAATATTAGAAACAGTATTATTCAATAAGCTTAAGTTCTAGCGAAAGAAATTTGAAAAGATAGAAAATATGCTTTTTTATTCTACTTTCCATGTTAATCGTCCAGTTAAACCTTCACAATTAGCCGAAATGTTAAGTACAAAATTGGTGATTTTCATGTGGTCCTCATTGAATTAAAAGATGTACCAAGAACCAATGCATGCGGGATTACTCATTTAAGCCTCGTATTTCGGACATGATTGAGCTGTAAAACGTTGATTTCTTTTTAAAATATTTCTTTATGATATTTGAGCTTGAAAGTGTCATTAAAATCGACAATTAGTGACTTTTTTGTATTCTAATTTTTGGGTCAACTGAGATTTGCCATTTCATTGGTTCATTGCTTTGGTTTCTTGTCGCTTCATAAACTGTGGGTAAATAAGTCTGTCCTTTTAGTGATAACTTTGTGATCTGTAGTCAAAGTACCAATGATGTCCAATATTTCAGAAAACATTCAATTATCAAGTTTGTCAAGACCCATTTTGTATGGTTATAGTATAGAACATTAAATTTTAACATTCTGGGACATGTTAAGTACCTCCCTTGAAAAAAAATCTTATTTATTAACATTCAGACTTTTAGTATTAGTCATACCCTCAATGTTAGTGAAACTTTCAACTAAACATGGTGTAAAAAAAGGGGTGTCACTAATTTTTGAAGAGGTGGGGAAATTGGAAAAGGTGTTCGGGATTTGACATTTTAATGTATTGTCAACCATTGCTTGTATTTCCAATGGCCGGGCAAAATCCCCAGTCCCTGGCTGACAGTTTTCTGAAATGGTTAAATGTTTGACTGTAGAACCTAAATATATCTTTGGACCTGACGTCACATGAGGCTAATGCATGCCTGTTTTCCCTTTTTTGTCTTGATTCTCTCTTGTTCTGTTCAAGTGCATTTTACCCTAGCCTGGAAGAGGATTTACACTTTCATTTTCAGATTTTATTCACTAATACTAATTTTAAAGGTGAATTTCTCTAGTCTTGTATCAAAATGAGAATATACATGTCAATTTCCATTGCCTTATGGAATACTATTTCCCAAAGCTCAATGTTAACCTTTTTCAAATGGTTCATGTTGGTAAAAACACAATGTTTTGATTATAACACTAATTTGCAAGCTAAAAATTTATACAGTATCAACAATTTAGTATAAGGTTTTTGAAATAAATCATTGTTTTTTTATGTCACCTGGTGATAAAGTTCTAAATTGACAAAGGCATACAACTAGCCACTCTGTTTTTATTTCATATCCATAGAGAATGATTGAGACAATTTTATTAAAAAATCTGGCAATGGAGTTTTCAGATGATTTCAGTGTGATAAGATGTTTAGCAGGTTTACTGTCATTGTTTTTTGAGATGAGGCTAGTCTCATGGTTGTTGTTCCCCAACGTAATCTGTTTTAAGAACCCACAATACAGTTACTAATAATATTGGAAGAAGCCCCTTACCATTTTTAGTATAAAGGTGTTGGGTGACCACCAAAACAGGACCTCAATTTCCTTCATTCAATTTAACTCAACCTTTTTGTTCATTCTTGGCAGAGGGTATACCTCAGGTTCACTACTTTGGTCCTTGCGGCAAGTACAATGCACTAGTCATGGAGCTTCTTGGACCAAGTTTGGAGGACTTATTTGACCTCTGCAACAGGCAATTTAGCTTGAAAACAGTACTGATGATTGCTATTCAACTAGTGAGTACATATGCTTTTTACTGCAGTGCTTTTCAAACCAGGTTTATTTCTGCTCATGACTGGATTGTCAGAGTTGGTAGCAAGCCAATAGCGGTGTGAGGGACAAGCTTAGTGATTGGTTTATTGTTTTTGGCTTGTGCCTCTGACAATGCAGTGGTTTGCACCTGATTGTAAGTAGCATTCATAGTGGCAGCTGCAAGAAAAGTTCTGATTCTTGAAACTCCAATGCCATCAGCTACATGACTCCAATACTAACTGAATTTTTTTTTATTTTCACCTGGTCATAACTACTTATCCAAGTCCAATCATAACTCTGACTTCCAACTCTATGAAAACAACCCCTCTTTAGAAATACAAGGTGAAAAATGTTGGCTTGATGAATTACAGGATGCTAGCAGAAACAAACAGAATGGCAGTTTTTGTGTGAAAGTGAAACCCTAACTTTCCTTGTAAGGGTAAAGCTTTCGTGCCAGCTTTGTTAATTTGTCTGAGTCGACTTAGATAGATCTTAAATCAAAAATCAGGGCTCACTTAATTAAGTAATGGTCCAGATAAGAAGGAAAGGGCCAAAACGCAGTGAACACGCCGGAATGCAAAAAGGTGCTAACTTTACTATTGTCTCTACTAAGGTTCTGATTGGTTTAAACATCAAATTTTACGAAATCTTCGCAAAGTAGCATGTATATTAATCCCTTTTTTCTATCCAACTTCCTTATAACAAAATCTCGTCTGAGTCTAAGTAACACAGAAATCGTATGTGCGGATCATGTAAAATTGTGAACATTTCTTGGCCATTGTTTGCAACTCTTGTGATTGGTCGAAATGTTTTAACACAAAAATACACCCTTTAGAAGTGGAGTTTAAATACATTTTCTTTCGTAAACAGCCTTTTTGTAGATTTATGAACTCTCTGCGTAAAAATGAAAACATTTCTATGTGAGGAAAGCGTATTGCGCCACAACAATAGAAATTGCTTTCCTTCTTACCTGGATCATTACTTAAATGTACAATTTTTTACTTCTTTACTTCCCAGATTTCAAGAATTGAGTGTGTTCATTCAAAGAATATGATTTACAGGGACATAAAGCCAGAAAACTTCCTTATTGGACGTAAATCTTCAGGCAAAGAGAAAACAATTCACATTATAGACTTTGGTCTTGCAAAGGAGTACATCGATCCAGAGACTAAAAAACATATACCATACCGTGAACACAAAAGTTTAACAGGGACTGCAAGATACATGAGCATAAATACACATTTAGGAAAAGGTATGAACTGCGTGTTGCTGTAACTGATGGCCTCATGGCAATACAGTCTGTTGTTACATTTCTGATTAAATCTTAAGAAGACAAAATTAAGTTCAAAAGATCTGGAATAAATCCTATTCCCAAGAACACAAAATAAAAAGTGGGTTTTTTCTAGGCCTCATGTGATGCACATGTAGACAAGAGTTTCACAAGAATTCTTCTCACATTAAATTTTATCAGGAGTAAGTTTTAGTAAGGTAGATACAGGTGACAGGCTGATCTGTTATCTTACGGGACTGTGCCTTTTTTTCAAAATAGATTATTGATGGGGTGGCTGGAAAAAATCCCCAAGTGATTTATGATAGATTGCTAGATTTTTCTCTCGATTTGGTTTACATATGCTTGTGAATCAAAGGAAGAATTTGATATCAGATCAGGGTCCCTTCAGGCCTTTGTCAGGGATTTGAATGAATGGCAGTTAACTGGCAGTTACGTTCCAGTGTAACTGTAAGTACTTGTAACAATGGGTAAATACTGTTTTCCAGTTCTCTTACCATAATTAATAAATTAATACTGGTTAAATCAGGTATGATATAGCAAAAGTATATTTTTTCAGCCAGAGGTTAGGTACTGTATTTATTCGGCTATAAGCCGAGCAATTTTTACACAAATTAAAGCTAAAGTTCCATGATATTTGAGCCCAAAAGGGGGTCTCAGCTCATAGCCAAGAGTCTTTGACAAAAAAAAATTGTTCAGTGCATTGAAACTCTACTAAATGGGCATGTGTTCACTTATAAGCTGAACAAATAGCAGTGGCAAAAGATCGAATTGATCTATTACAAATCTGAATGTTAAGTGAGCTAAGCACAGAAATTCAGTCCCAAGATCTCACATTGGTAAACCTTTTACAACGAGGGAAGGTGTAAAACAAATGAGAGATGTTGAGGGATTCGTAAAACAATCCCCTGTGTTTGGTCAAACTTGAGCTTCAAAACATTTGCCTGGTTACTAAGCAAGGAGGAATGCAACACAAACTGATGTGCTTTGTTTGATTGAAAGATGATTCATGTGATCATTTCAAGCATGATATGATGACGACATGAGGAGGGATTGATAGCAGCGAAAAACCCAAACAACAATATATTTATGTTTTCCTAGAGAAGGTCACATTCTTTTCAAAATTGTTAAGTTTTACAGTAGTTAAAAGTCTTGTAACTAATGGGTCTTGGCTTATAACCAGGTGGTTTGGATTTATCTTTCATTCTTGGTTATGCTAATTCTACAAGTTTTCAAGTTTAGGGTCTCAGCTTGTAGCCAAATAAATACGGTAGTATTTAGAGGCCCTGTCAGGGTTAAATTCCAACAAGTGACATGGGGTTAAAACAGGAACATAACACGAGATGAAATGATGACACATGACATAAAGATGCATTGAAGACAGAAAAGGACATGGCCTCCTCAAAGCACAGAACAGCGGTATTTGAAATTCAGACTAGGGACCTACCCAACAGGGCCTCTATTTAGCCCATGCATACATTTAGTTTAATTTTTTTAAAAAAATAAGGTTAACAATCTCCACTTCTTACAATCAATTTTTTTCTTCTTTGAGTATTCAGACTATTTTTGTAAAAAGATGGTTATTTTTGTGTTTCAGAGCAAAGTAGAAGAGATGACTTAGAAGCATTAGGTCACATGTTTATGTACTTTCTAAGAGGGAGCCTTCCATGGCAAGGCCTTAAAGTATGTCTCTTGTACTTATATTGAATTTTTAACTCCTTGTTTTTATTAAAGGAGGTGACCATAAGTCACTGTTATATGGGTTCATATGGATTTTAATTTCTTTATAACTTTGTAATCATTTCCCTTTAAAAAAGTGTTAAGTTTTTAAAGAGTTGAACCAAACAAAAACTTTTAAACAGTGTGTTAACTGGGGCATGGCCAGCTAACAGAGTACAAAATGGGGTGTTTAAGCCAAGAGGGTGCAACCCTAATGGCACACAAAGATGCAACAAGCCAAATGGTGGCAATAAAAGCTACTAGTTGAGCAATTTCATTTTCTAATTGGGTTTTTGGCAGCCTAACATTTGAAATTTTAAGGGTGTTGTACAAAATAATGTTCTCATGCAAAGTAGGGGACTGTGTGGCATCTTGAAGCATCTGACCCGATGTGCTTGTTTAACATAATATTTATTGCAAGTATTTTTAGATGTTAAGATGAAATTGTGCAGTTATAAAACTCCAAAGAAAATTTCTTTAAGGCAAGACAGTGTTCGACCTAAGTACCCAAAGTAAGAATATTTGTAGAGAATAAAATTTACAAAAATATGCTTCCTTAAAATATTAATTAAAAAAATTGATGCATTTCATATCAAATAATACTAAGTAATTAAAACAATAGTGATTAAAAGTTTTCTGACATTTCATATAAACATAATGCTAAGTAATCAAAAGTAATTAAAAGGTCCATAGTGTCTACTAGAAATTACTTATTAGAAAGTGATTTTTCATCACATGTCTATGTGCACATGCAACCTTACCAGTGTTGTGTAGGTAATATGACTTCTCAAACTCATTAATAATTCATAAAGAAAATTCAAAGGAAATTAATGTTTAATGAGTGTTTGGATATCAGATGAAAAACTGCTCATTTTTGCATCCTTAATTTCTCCTTCAAAAATGATTTTGTTTGAGAAGAAATATCAAACATTCGACACAGTGTTTCATCGCCAGATGAAACACCTCGAAGTTCGTCAAAAATACTCCGCTACGCGTCGTATTTTCAACTCTCTTCTCAGTGTTTCATCTGGTGATGAAACACTGCGTCTCATGTTTGATATATTACTTCACAATCATTTCTTCACATGATTTCTTTTCTATAGCTAGATCACATAGAACAATAATAATATTGTTATCTCTTCATCATGTAAAGGATTTTTCTGTTGTCTATTGTAGGCAGACACCCTGAAGGAGAGATATCAAAAGATAGGAGACACGAAACGTGCAACGCCTATTGAAGTTCTCTGTGAGAATCATCCTGGTATGTTTCTGTGCGTTGTGTTAATCAGAAATCATTGCAATAGCCCATTTTCATGTTGGAGTTATTTTACTACATCAAGAGTGCTTTGGAATTTTGTTTCCTGGTGCAAATTGGGCTGTTGTTGTGTAATATATATCAAAATTACGAGATTTGAATGACAAATGAGAACAATACAATCTTCTTTTATAGAAGTACATTCAGAACAATATTATTTTATTTGTGTTTGACTGGTACCACAACCAAGTATCAACCTGTTATTGTTGTTCTACAAAATAGTTGACCTTAAACTGACTGATAAAAATTATATTTCCCTTTCTCCCTACAGAGGAACTGGCCACATATCTACGCTATGTACGGAGACTTGATTTCTTTGAAACCCCCGACTATGAGTATTTAAGAAAACTGTTTAGGGACTTATTTGACCGGAAAGGATTTGTTGAAGATGGTGAATTTGACTGGACACACAAGCAAATAGTAAGTAAAAATAAAACTGTAAACTATTGTATATGATTCAGCAAAAACCATGCATACAAGAACCCCTGATAGAGTGGTCTTTTGTAGAATGGACAGTGGTTCTATGGTACGGTACTTGTTTGGCCAAATTTTAGTCATAAGCATAGTCTAAATTGTAGTGGCAGTGTTAAATACATTTGCAGGAGAGATTCTAGAAGTCTTGAAGTAGAGTTAGTATGCCCTCAAAGACAGCTGTCAGACAATACCTCTTCAGCTGCTGGTACAGCATATTAATTTGGAAAAATGATGTTGCCTATGCTCACTAAATTTTTCAACTCATCAATGCAGCACTTATTTAGGGGTGGTGCTTATTTGGGCTTGGCCAACTATGCCAAATTTGCAAACGCCATTAGGCAAGTTGGTTAGGTAATAACCCAGGGGCAAATCATCAAGGTGAGGGTGATGGCAATCGCAGCGGCGGCCTTACATTTGCCTGTCTCCATATTGAACAATATTGTATTAAGCGCACATCTTTGGAAACAAAGGTCATCCTAATACTTATCCCCAGTTTCCACAGTCTCCACTAGGATCGTGTGGCCTACTTTGTAATGAAGACTGTCTTGCTCTGCTAAAGCAAGCTCAACTGAAAATTCTGTCTTTAACAGGAGTGAGTAAGAAATTATGTAATTGTTTTTTATGATTATTAAATTTTTATAATGTTAGCATCATCTTTCCACAGCCAAGTCCTATTAATTCACTGAGTCATTCAGATCAACACAATCCAAGAGACTCTCAGCTTCCTGCAGGATTTCAGAAATCAACTGAGAGAATAATGTCTTCATCTGCGACAAACAAGGTACAGATAACATTTCAGTGTATCAGAGCTGTCACTAAGAGCCAGTAGCTTAGGGTCTCCCTCGGCCACTATGAGAATGATCACCAGCTACTGTCATAGGAAACAAAAGGAAAATAATAAACAACCTCCTTTTCTGGCTGGTCAAATAATTGTAGAAGTTTTTTTTTTTTTTTTTGCCCAAGTACTATCAAACTATACTAGTAACAGATCAATCGTACTGCATTGACATTCCGGTACTTGGCAGGTTATTGCAAAATGTATTTAGAGCATAGCATAAGTCAAAAAACATCATTGCAGTGTTAACATAGTATAGAACAAGACGCATTAAGTGGAAAAGTGCATGGAGAATAAAAAATGTTCATATCCAAAAGTGAGCACTCAAAATGACCAGCAAGACGAGAGTTTGACCAGACAAGAACGCAACCAGGCTGGATATTCTTGACTGGCAGTTATTTTCAGCCCTGCCATGGTGTATCATTATAATTTATTGTGTGTTCTATACCTGCCTTATACACTCAAACATTTTTTAAAAACTGACAATTTAAACCAGAAGGAAACTGACAGAACAAAAACTACCGAAAACAAGAAAATTTGCAAAATATCAAAATAGGAAGGAATTGTTATGAAGTATGAATTTTTTTTTTCTGTTCCTAAAGAAAGGTTTTTTGATAAATGTTTGATCTCCAGCTAAAGATATAGTGAGCTTCACTGTTCTGACCTATCAGACATCTGATCATAGATCATGTCAACTTTGATCCTGATCAGACTGTCCATGCTGTTAGAGCCCTATTGCACTAAGAGCACTAAAGATGTGACAGTTTCTCACTGTGTACACCCCTAGCATTTGTCTGTTACAGCGTATATTGTAATAACTTCAAAGATTACAGCATATTCAAAATTCAATTGAAAGATATATCAAGTGTTGATCAGTTTGATTGGTCTTTGTTTAGTCTGCTCAAGACAGAAAAGGGGCTTGGGCTGATAACTCGCAGGCTCACAGGACGGCTGGGCTGGCTCCACCAACTGCAGACAGATTAGGGGGCTCTGTTCAAGTTGTTAGCTCAACAAATGGTGACCTTCTCCCAACTGAAGAGAATCGTCTAGAAAGCAAGGCTGGTAGTCCTGTGCATGCACAACAGCAACCTGAAGTGGAAGTTGTTGAGGAAACAAAGTATGTGTCACTACATTTTGTAGCCATTGAAGTTTATTTAGTGGGTGGGTCTGATGACGTCCTCATTGTCTATTCACAGGAAAATTTTTATGCACAAACAGGGAAATATTGTCTACCAAATTAATAAACATTATGAGCCAGTGTGGTAACAGTGCAAGGTGGATCAGTACATCATTTTGATTGTGTAACATTAATTTTTATTGATGTATCATGTTTCTACCAAGCTAGCTGTCGTGGGCAATACATCTACACTTCCAACAGCGAGGCAAAGTTCCTTTCCTTAGCCACTAAAAACAGCCCTGTAATGTTTTTGTTACAATAAATGTCACATTCAGTAACATTTTATGAAACAGCGGGGTTTTTTGTAGCTCTTAACTAATTGAGAATTTTTTTGTAATGAAACCTGGGGTTTCGTAGCCACTAAACTTCCTTTATTTTCATAGATGCTGTTGTTTTTTCAAACGGAAAAAGAAGAAGAAGCAGCCGGTTGTGAGGCACAAATGACTTTTTCATTGAAACATAGCCATCAATGAAACCTCGGTAGCATAGGAAAGCTTTAACTCATTAGAACCTTTTTGTAGAAAGTTGGGTCAGTTTTATAATGAAAGAAAATGGAGTTTAAAAGTGTAGAAGCAAACATTTGGTTCAAATCTTTCTGTGACAACGTCTTTGCTTTGCACAAATTATGAAGGATGTCTCCCAGTAGTTCAGAAAATAATGAAGAAAATTTTTAACAAAGTGGATTTTATTTAGTGACACCAGAAACTCGTAAGGGTTCCTGGTGATAGAATAAACGTTAGAAGACTTAAGTAGTTAAGTGACCTCAAACTTTTGATACAAAGTTTAGTTTTCAAAATAATGATTTACACTTCAAGCTCTCTGAAAGCCATTATTTTTAACCCAGATCCTGGTCTTTCATTTTCACTGTTATTTTTCGGATGGATATTTCCCATGATCTGATCTTGAGACAAAGGGGAACTTTTGCCATGTTTTAATATAAATTTAGGTTGTATGATAACTGTCTGTTGGCAGAACCGAATGGGAGCAATAATGTCAATATTTTCATTTTACAAAGAAGCATGATCATTTGAAATTTCAAAGATGATAGCAGTAGTGAGAAGACAGATTGAATATTATTTCTTGTCTTTCCTTCACCTTCGTTTGAAGTTTCAGATCATTGTTATTGACATTTCTACTCCAGTCACCAATTTGTTAAAAAGGTAATGACTGCTATGTAAGATTTGCTAACTTAGAGTGAGACTTTCTAAAGATTTAACCATAAGCTTGGTTCTAGGAATATTTATTGACAATAATTATTTTGCAACACCCTGAAATATATGAATTATGTTTGTTAATATTAACATGCCCAGATCCCTTAACTGCTTGCAAAATAAATTTGTGATGTGAAGCTTGTTTCTCTTTTGCTTTGTAGATGCTAGCCTGTGAAAACAGCCATCTCTCCTCGCTCCTTGCTGCCAGGGACACGAGGAGGGATGTCTGCACCTCGGTGAGAGAAATTCCATACTGATGATGTTAAATATCTGGTCAGCAGAGTAGTTATATTGTTTTAGCTATTGTGTACTAACGACGCACAAAAAACAAAATGGTCACAAAGGTCAAAATATAATGTAAATGCAATGAATTTACTTTATAACAGTCAATGTTCATGGAATATATTCCTCTTTAGCAGAAGCATTTAAGTTTGGCTGGAGCTTGTTCGCAGCCAAACCCAAAACTTGACCATAATCAACCAGGAGAAACTAAAAATCGAACAAATTTGCATTTGGAACCCATGACTACAGGATATATTACATAAACATTGATTTCATCATCAGTATGAAATCTCTGTTGGTGAAGCACAGGCGTCCCTCCTGCCAAACATCCCTAGAGCGAGGAGTAAGGAGATGCAGCTGTTTTTGCAGGCAAACTAGATGCTGTAGACTGGTACATGTAAGCTGTAATCAAGTAATTTCTGAAATTGGTAGTTACTTGACAGAACAATAACATTGCAGTGTGACCAGTCTTTGTTTGTAAACCTCAGCTATAATTCCTGTCTGTCTCCTTACCATTAACTTAATAATTGTCCTGTTTGATTCTGGATGTTAGGAGTTTACTGTAAAGTCCTGTGGTTTATCTTTGATTGTAAGTTTTCACTTGCAATAGTATTCATTTTTCTTTCTTGTTAAGTCTTATCTGGGGTAATATTAAATTCTAAAAACAGTTCATGGTCACTACAAACAGAATACAGCTTTCCTCTTTTGGCAAGAGGATGTCTTTTGGCTGTTGATTCCTTTTTGTCAGAAATTCTTGTCACATTGATTTGTATTTCCCCTGAAGTCAATTAATGTAATTTCAAATCTCGCCCATCACGAGTTAGCCATTCATTTTTAGTCTGTTATTTCCACTGATTTGTAATAAATTGAATGTACAGAAATTCACCCCCATCATTGTTAGTGTCAATTTGTGTAGAGTTCATCTGGTTTGTACAGCCTAGGGGAAAAATATTTTCCTTATCGTTAAAATGTTTAAAGAAAGCCCATAAATCTTTGTATTCTTTAGAATGATTAATTATTATTAAAAAATTCGTCTGTGAACTTATTCTTGTTTCATTATGTTGCTTTTCCTCAATATATTTCTGTTTTAAGCAGTATGATACAAATTTTTTTTTGATGTTTCAAGAAGTCAAGTCACCCAAGGGATGGATGTTGTTTAAGTTCCATGCTAGAAAGAAATAACTACTACACCCATAGAACTGTAATTTGAATGGTTGCACCATGGTGTCATTCACAGACTCATCATTGCATTCATTGCCCCAAATAAGCAATCTGCCTTTTATAATACTGTTACTTGTTTTGTTTACTTGACCAAAGTGATTACCAAAATGGATATACACCCATTTCTCCTCACAACAGCCATCTGTGTTTACATTTGCATACAAGGTTCAACAGTAATGTTTTTTTCTTTCACATGATGACAAATACGTCATTTCAGATTTTGTAGTAGGGCTCTCTGTTCACTAAGCATAGCTGTGTCAAAAAACAAAACTTAAACATAAAACAGGCAGAATCTGTTAAAATACAACCTTACACTAAAGAGATCACCAGAATGAACCACCCTTATATCTTGAATTGCATAACAAAATGCACCCATGACTGGACTGAATGGGTTGAATAATTTCAAGTAGATTGCTAGCTTGTAGGGATATCAGCAACGTTGAACATTAATTTTTGGAAAAAGGCCCATGAAAATTAGTAGTGATATAGGAGGTCAATCTTTGGCTGTGTGAGTGCCTTTTTATTGTGGAGATGCACTTTTAACATTATGTATGGGCAGAAGCATTATACAGTCCACTCTGGATAACCCAAACCTTCTAGAGAAATTGAAGAAAGTGCAAGTTAGTGCGAATTCGAAGCGAATAACCGGGAATAAGGAAATAAGCTAATGGACGGGTAGGGAATGCAAGTATAATGCACACTTCACTTCAGGGGCAGCAAGAGATATAGATTAAACTTTTGAAAAAGGAATTAAGCAACAAAGCTTGATTAATATACTGAGATGGACATTGAATTTGAACTGGAGTGACCAAAAGTTAAAACAAAGAATTGACAAAGAATTCTTTTGTTGATTGATCTTTCTTGTTTTGCTGTTCCAACGTTTCCGAATTCAGTAAACCGCTTTTTTCTTTTTTTTTGGACTTGTCACATTGTTTAATTAAAACATGGTTCAAGTTATGGCGAGTAGAATTATATAGAAATGATCTGAAGAGAAACAAAAATTACTGGGAGTTATTGAGGGTTCGAGTTGCCGAGGGTAAAAGCACAGTAAAAGCATGAAGGAAATCTAGTGGAAATTGACTTTGGTTCAAGTTAGTGAGGGTTCAAGTTATCAGGAGTAGACTGAAACTTTTTCAAGGTTATATGCTTTCGGTTCAGGGTGAAGTAAAATGGGCAAGTCTTGCAGCCTTTGTTGTCTCTCTGCAGAGGCCCCATTTGCTTCAAATATAAAAATAAAGGTGGAGGGAAGCTATACATCTAAGAACCCCACTATCCTCCTCAGTTTTTCTGTCAGTTGGTCTAATAATTCTTAACATAAATAGAGGATATTACATGGCCACATAGAGAAACAAAATTTCCCTGTGTGTGTTGAAACATATTTTTGACGAAAGTATGCAGCAATCAAGTGTGATATTTTTCAGCACAAGAAGGTAAACTTTGTATCTCCAAGTGTTTATGTAAATAAATGTTCTATAATACCAAAAGGCAAAAGGTGCAATTTGTTATGTAACCATTGCAATGCTCTTCTTAATAATTATATTACCAAATCAAGACAAATAAAACAAAACAAAGTGCAGATTAAACTTTTACTTTATTTTATTTGTAAGCATTAAAAAATTATCCAAACTCTTAATAACAATAAATTGAAGTACATGTATGTAGGCAATGTATATTTCATCTGTCCTTCCTAATATGGGTTAATTATCTTCAAGCAACATGGTAGAAAATAACATTAAGGTACTAAATTAATTTGAGACTAAAGGTTTCATCAACCAGTGCTTCTAGAGGAAATAGTTTAGCTAAGCCTTTCTAAGGACAACAACAGGAAGTGCTGAGAGCTGTACACTAGACACCAAAAGTTACATTAAGTTGCAATAAATAATTCATCAATGGCTATGGTAGAACGGGAAATTTTACAGTAACATAACAGTGCATATTCTTCAGTCCTCTCTAAGTTTTTCAATCCCTTCAATTTCCTGTTCCTCAGAAGACACACCTGGGTGTGCACTTGCTACTGATGGACCTGGTTTTTCAGGTGAAACTTCACTGCTAGTGGTTTCCTTGGGAAAGAATTCACCAATACCTGCAAAGTCAGTAAGACATGATCACACTTATTGACTACTAACGCAAAATAGATGTATTATTGTTAATCTATGCTATTTTCTTTTGTTATTTTTTAAATTTAAAATTAGTGGAGATTGTAGCAAATGTGACACAGCAGGCAACATGAAAGCCACAAGAATTCTAGTGTATGCCTGAGACGACTGCTTGGTACTCCCTGAATTACACACTTGCTGCACTCTGCTAACTATGAAAAATATTAAGAGACCGCTCACATATGACCAAAATAATCATCTTTACAGACTGCTACATTGCATACAGTGTAGGTCAACTATGAAAAATACAGAACCATTTGGCTGTTTACATGGATGCTGCACAATAGTGGCCAGGCAGTTTAACTCCAGGGCTGAGTTGTTCAAAGCTGGGTTAAGATAACCCAGGGTTAGTGTGAAATTTGAATTCAGATTTGAAAGTTTAAAAAGCATTTCAGTTTTAATTCTTTTTGTCTACAAGTTGATGATGGGAAACTCTAAAGATAACAGAGAAAATTATCCGAGAAAATGCTTTTGACCACCAAAAAAAGAAACCCCTTAAGCACTAATCAGCCCTCGAACAACTGGGCCCAGCTAGTGTTCAGAGGGAGTGTTGAACGTGTAGGAGGACAACCTGCAGATTGCAAGTTCAACACCCTGAAACACTGCCTTTATCCTGAAATTATGCCTTCTCCCTATAAATCTATGTCTCTTAGAGGAAGAGATTTTTCCTCTTCCCCCACTGCCCCCCTTAGACAGGTTGCCGCCTTTCCCTGTTTGAATTATCTTTGGCTTTTGTACCTTTCTGCCACTTAGGAGAAGGCCACCATTTGACAGGGTTGCCTCCTGCATACTTGTTTCTGCTTGAACCTGAACTGGTTGGTGAGCCAAAGCTACTCGCAGCTGAAGATGATCCACCTACTTGTTTACGAGGGGCCTTTGCGCCAACAGCTATAACAGACAACAGTGTCAAGCATGAGGATATGGAGCCATAACAACTATCTTTAAGCTTTAAGGGGGTATAAGTGTTATGAGGAACGTCTGGTAATATAATGTTACAAAGCAAGAGTCATGGAAGAAACTACAAAGGCTTGACTGGGCATGAGAATTCTTCATGGTTAATGTTAGCAGCCCTGTGATTCTGAATTGAATTATAGGGTGCGTTCCTTTGGGATGATCCGCATCTGGATTAGTGATCCCAGATCACTTGGATCATAGTTGATCAAATGAACCGATGAATCCTTGTCCAGAGTGGATTCATCGGTTCATTTGATCTACCATGATCTAAGTGATCTGATTATCCCAAAGGAATGCACCCACAGAGTTTCAAAATAGCTGCCACTATAACCCCATTCATAAAACAAATTATTTGAAAAATATTTGTCGCAGACGTTTTTAGTTTTTTGGAGTAGTTTTTGAGTGTTTAAATCAAAGACATCCATTGGGATTAAAACCCAGAAGTAAAAATTCGTACCTTTTGCCATCACAGAATAACGTACCCACACCCTACCCTTTAACTGCTGTTGAAAATTACACGCTAGATTCCATACATACAGTCCCTTATAAACATTTCATCCTTTGAATAACAACACTTACAATTGGCAGCATATTCATGAGGGTTTGAGCTTGACCTTTTATTTTGATAATTTCCAGAAGAAAATTATTCCTATCAAAGTTAAGCTTATGCATATAAGCTGGTTGCCACAGCATTTCATACTTAGTTCTTATAAATTTTGCAGCTTTTGAGCATGATCGCAGGTTTTTATATACTAGGTATTTAAAGCGCGTTTTTGACTTTAAAAAGGACGCCATGAGAAGTTGTTAGGCTTTGTATAAAGATGTATCTTCGAAGGTCTACATAGATTATACTTGTGCTGTACTTAAGCTTACATCAAAAGCTTTATAACAGCCTTACTTCGTTTGTAAATGATTCAAATAGGCTCAGCATGGAAACAATTGCTGGTGGACAATGATGATAAGATGCAGTGAGGGCTTAAAAATTTCCGCTTTTGCCTTAGATTTCAGTCTAATGAATTGGACGATTACCCCTACCTCTTCTTGAAGCGCCATCAGCTTTCGTTCGTACCATTTTCCTTCCTTCAATGAGCATAAACGACCCAATCTAATATCGCAGGGAGATAAAATGGCTTCGCTTCGATCAAATATTCGCGCGCCTTTTTATCCCGCCATCGTCACATCATTGCGAGGCTAAGAAGTGTTGCTATAGCAACTTGCATAAAAGAATTCGAACAAAATACTGCAACACATTTGCAGCTTGAATTTTGATCAGGGTATTGAGTTTAAAAGTTCTGAACAAGAGTTTAAGGGCTTTCTTTTTTGTTGTTTTCTTTAGAAAGGTAAGTTTTAACTTAAAACGATAAATTAAATTATATTTTCGCATACTTGTTACATGAGGACTCCAAGTGTCAATAAGCATGATGCATGAGTATGCAAGACACGACATTTTGGGTTTTAGTCTGTAGTTGTTTTAAAAGCTTAGATCATAGGGACACTTATTTCTTTTTTCTGCAGTTGTAAAAGCTCTTGCGCCCAAGAATTTTGCAGTGACGCTGGTTTATTTGGGAGAGGAAAATTGCTATTAAATGCAGCCATTTTATTAATATAAGCTAAAAGGTTCATTAGCTTTGATTATGCTTATTAAATTAAAGTTTATCTCGGGTCAGATTTTGTGGTAATACTGGATAAATTTGTTGATTAGATGTTACGAGTTGTATATTTGTGTGAAAATAATTTTTATATTTTGTTGCTAGATTCAATCAAAAACATCAAATCATGGCAGAATTGATAAATAAGATTCCTGCTCAGAAGACAGGTCCTGAGTTCCTTGCAGCTTCTCATTTTACAATCAGCCACGAAGATCGCTGGGCACCACATAAAGACTCACATGTGTACAAAAGCACATTCAAGAAAGATTACCCACCCCTCCCTCTGACAAAAAGAGAGCGCATTCCTTCTCCTCCTCCAGCAGTAATCATGCACAAAGATGGTCGCTACAATGACAAGTGTTCCATGACTCGGGGACACTTTGTTGAGAAGTCTCTTGGAGAGCGGAATCAAGAAAACTCCACTTATGCCTTGACGAAGACAAATTTCAAGATGGATTCTGACAGCCAGCTGAAATCATTCCAGACAACACACAAGGAATATTATCCTGTTCGACCTCTTAAGGAGGCCAGGAACCCTGCTGCTACAGGAAAAAGTGACTGGATGCGAAGTTACATTCCACAAGGTGTGTTGGTAGAAATAGTAACGAGTATTGAGTTTCAAATAAGTGTATTGGCATGAGTTTCATAAATATAATAATTACATGGCTGAATCAAGTGAATTAATCCTGCTTTCTGATTGGCTACTGGAGAGGGCAGCCTGCTTGGGATTACCTGCATTAGTCCCACAAGAAAAGTTCTCTTTTTTGGCCTCATAATAAATCCTTTCTTGACATTTCAACCAAGCTGATTTGGTCAAGATGGCTGAATATTGGCCTCCTTTTCATCTCAGTCAATAAAAACACAAAAAGAACTTGGCCAATATCCAGCCATCTTAACTTCACGCTTGGTCAATAATGCCTGAAACACTGTCATCTCCCTCCTCATGCCTACAACAAGTATGCTATACACTCTACACATACTTTACAACTTCTCCCTTAAGTATCCCTTCAAGAATTTATACCCTAGACAGTCATTAAGAGGCGGGGGCCAGGGATTTCCCCTTGCTACTACGAACATGGCCACTACCTACTTTCAAAGGAAAAGAGAAGAAAAATAGAGCCAAAAGAAACCCTTAGCTATTTGATTTCCTGCCTACTTTTTTTGTATTTACCCAGCAACTAAAAATCTTAGTGACAACCCTGCATACCTAAAGCCATAACCTTTTTGCAATGCTATCAACAATTAACATTTGGGGTTGCAGCTTAGAGTGGATGAGGTTAAAGGGTAACAGATTTTTACGTGGCGCCATCCCCTGTTTGTTACTAGTCATCATCATCATCATCATCATCACCATCATCATTGGCCCACTGCTCTGAAGATTGACACCACTATTTTGTCTAGCCACTGAGTCGTATTTGCCATTGATCTCCTAAATTCGTCAAAATAAAAAGGGGGTATCTCTTGAGATTGTCAAGATAGCTGGGGGTTTGTTTTCTTTATATTTATTTTTGGTCTTGGGTAATCTCCAGAAAAAGTTCATTATCACCCAGTTTTATTACCCTGAAGCAGTGGCCCTCAGAAAACTCTCCTTTGTGCCACAAAAGAAAAACCATAGCTCTCATAGCGATTCTGTTGCATTATATTGATGTCTTTGAGACCACGAGAACTATCAGAAACAGAGGTGTCCACATTCTCTACACCAAAACGGGTTCAACTGTACAAACAATGTAAAACTACACACTGCAAGTTAACATAATGAGCCCAACAAGGACTGTTATCTGTTCCAAACTTTACATTACTCAAATATTATACTATTATTACATTTATTATACTGCAAGTTCCCGTAATTTAATTCACCACTCCATAAACTTCAGGAGGGAATTAATGGGTACAAGCTGTTGGTGCAAAGTTGTTACAGCTAGACATGTAGTAAGTGGTTGATAGCATACAAAGGCAGCAATTTTATTAACCAGTCAATGCTTATAATTTTATTGTCTGCCCCAAACAATCCCAGAAATTTGTCATGTCATTTGAATTTTTACCAAACACTTGGAAAATTTTCAACAGAAAAGTCATTTTCTCAAGCTTGTACCTATTCTCTCAATAGTTTCTGGGTGGCAACTGTTGTATGCCACGATAATTAATTACATGCATCTAATCACAACATTCCATTATTTGAACATCACAGGAGATAAGGAAAAGGAGCTTTGGCCGCACTCAGACTATCGAAGCAAGTTCCTGGGAGAACAGCTAGGTAAAAGAGATATTTTACCTCCTGTTGACAAACACACTGGGCCACCTACTATCACTGGTGATTCAAGAACACATCATCTGGGACAGTTTACAACAACAACCAAGTCTGAGTTTGTCGGAAGATATCTGAAAAGACAACACCTTATGGATCCATCATTGAGGGTGTGTATCACTGTTGTTTAAAAAAATCCTTTCAACTGAGAAAACTTACCCCCTTTCATCCATGGCTGAGTGAATTTTGTAGGCTGAATGCTGCAGTTTACATTATACTCTACATATTTGGTGTGGATAAAATCTGTTACATTGGCAAATTTCATAATATTTATTATCAAGATTTGCACTTTTTTCCTTTGTTGATCTCAGGCAATTACTATAATAATAAATTATTATTATCTATGACAGGAGTTGCTTTTTTGTAGAAGTAATGGTAAAATAAATTAATGCTACAAGGCATATTTTTGTGCATTAAAATTATCTAAAATTTTGTTTTACAGGATAGAGGTTCAAGCATTCCCCAAGGAGATCAGGAAAAATGCAACTATTCCACATCAACACAACAGGATTCATTCCGCAAACCTGGCTTTAAAGATTTTACAGCTTTTGACCGAGAAGAAGCTGTCAACAGACTACGGCGAACCACCTTTCAACTTGGTGACAGACGGGTTCCTGGATACCTTCAGACCACTGCAGCTGAGTCTTATCCATCACGCTTAATGACAGGTATTAACAAACACAAAAAGGGTTTTGTTAGCTGTGTTGTTTCAGTAACCTGTCCAATTTTGTAATCCAAAGACTGGTTGTTTCAGCGCTTATCCTCCTCCAATCAGAGTGAATTGCTTACCATTTATGAACTCTTTGTAGATGATAACAATTCTCCACTTTTGTTTGATTTAGATAAGAATATAAGTGCCAACCTAGATATGGGAAAAAGCAGCTTTCCAGAGGGAGACATGGATCCTGGAAGAGCCCTTGAGAGAATTAGCAGAACTACAAATGACATTTTCTTTGGAAATGTAAGACAATTAAATATGAATCTAACTATTTTTTGAGAAATATAGTCACAAAATACCACAATAAAATTATTAAGCAGAAAGAAGGCTAAAACATAAGTTGTTTTCGTGCAAGGAACTGAAGAATGACACAGATCAAGAGAAACTGAACAATACCACTACATGACAGTTGCACTCTAGCAGTTTCTTATACCTTTTTTGGAATATTAGGAATATGATTTTAAAAAAAAACTAGTCAAAGAACAAGAGGTAAGAGGATCAAGGAAAAACTGAGAAAAGAAAAAAAAAGTCCCCCTTTATCCAAATATACTGATATGCTACAATGTAATTTACTGAATCCCAAACAGCCTCCAAGAGGATTTAGAACCAAAATAGTTGATGGCTCCCACCTGAGAACTGAATCCCATGTGGACCTAGGAGCGGCCAGAGGTGCAAGGTTTTACGATACATCAATGAAGTCTGACTTCACAGCAGTATCAGTTCCTTACAATAAAGCTCCTGGTATGACTACAGACAGCAGTATTCCACTGGACTATTACCGTAAGTACAAGAATATTGAAAAGGCAACAAATTCTATTAAATTGCAAATCAAGGGCAGAATAAAATTTGTCATCATTCATTTCTTCAAATATATTATAATACCGGTATGTTTGTTCTCAAGCCAAATCCAGCGCTGTTGAATACGTGAGCTGGGAATTGGAAATTAACAGTTTTAACTGTGGATTAATTCCTCTTATTTCATTAGGTGGACAGCCTGTCAACATGCCAACAAGCTGGAGTGATTTTCCTTCACATGCCGGTGTTCCAAAGCTTATTCCACACCCCTTAGCAGTAGAAAATGTAAGTATATGGTCCAGTTCTTGAAATCCAAATAGACAACAACTTGTAACGTACACTACATTCACATGGCAACGGACAAATTTTTGACCAGCTGAAAAATTTAACTGGGCTTTTCGTTCACACGGGACCTTTCACTATTAATTTTCTCTCTGTTCCCATGGAACTTTGAAAGGCTGCGCATCTAAATTTTTCTACGGTTAAAGTTGTTCACATGAAAAGAACACCTAAACACACTAATTATCAAGCAGTCGAAAATTTGTCCAGTGTTGTGTGAACATATCCTTAATTCTGTTTGTTTGTTTGTTTGTTTTATTAAATAATAATAATTTACGCATTTCTAACACAATGTTGTTGTTGTCTTTTTTAGCTCAAAAAGTCACATATAAAACCGCCAATCCCTGATGAAAGAGAGTTTAGCACGACACACCAAAGAACGTACACACCAAAGAAAACCTCAAGAAGAAGTATTGATGCTGGAAGCTTGCAGCGTAGCTCAGTTCCTTTGGGAACTTTGACAACATATGTTTAAGTGTTTTGTGAATATTGGTACAGGTCACTGTCAGTTTTAAGTTCCCTTGAAGTAAATACCATAATATGTGTAATAATAATGTACCATAATATAATACCAGTAAATGGATTTTCTGTGTCAGACTAAATCAAAGACACCAGTCTGATCAAAACATGATCAAAAGAAAAATTGTAGAATCAGAGTGATAATCATTGCAGTAAACAGCAGTCACTAAACACTTTTCCTTAGCTCTATTGCTCAAACATTTTAGACTTTATTATTATCTTTTAACTAGGAAGCTTGAATCTGTAATTGAAAATGAAACCAATAATATATTGCAGAGTAGACCATGCATGCTGGTAGAATTCTTAGACTTTAAATAAAGAAATCCTTATTTTGTAAATACTTGTTGGGTACTATTAGATTCCTCCTTTGGCCCAGAAGATACTTTATTATTCAATCAAAATATTTCTCTATTTCTGATTGGCTAAAATCCCACGGATAATATTCATCATACCACTAACTGATGCTTCAACCCTGTACAGAGGTACATGTACCAAAGATCCGATTGAAACCCTTCACTTGAAGTAAAGTTAATTTAATTTTCATCCTCCATTTCTCCCACCATTTCAGAAGGAAAGGATTATTATTTTGTTTAATAATGTTTGTCACACCGGTGCCAATTCTTTTCTTTATTCCCTTTATTACAACGAAGAGCTTCGATTAATTTTACAGAGACATTAATAACACAAATTACAATGCTTGACAAATTAGCATGAAAACATGATTTCTTAGGTCGTTTTCCTCACTCTTCAAATGCAAACATACATGTCCTGTTACACTTAAAAAACTTCAGTCCACAAGTACTTATTATAAGTTGTGGGTTAAACTTTCTACAACATGCAAAAACTGTAAATTTCTCACTCATCAATAGCACATCCACAGTGGTTATTCTGCGTCTGCTAGCTCCAATCCTTTACTCTGGTTAAAGCTTATTAACTTGTACAGCAATAGGTGTAACCCACTTGTCTGTGTGGTAAACACTCTCTCCAACCTTCCACCCTGGCACGTCTTTCATAATTTGTGCTTCAAGTTCTTCATTTTCTTTTAGTGCTCGCAAACATCTAGTAACAAAAATTTTATACTTAAAAACATTATAACTACGTCTGCAAAACTCACAATCCTTCCAATTCATGCTTTGTTCTCATAAGCTACAAAGTAATCAATCAGCACAACTAGAAAACAATCTGCATGTTTATGCACAAGATTCAGTATTAAGATTACTTCACCACTCAATATATAATCTTCAAATTAAGGGCGAACTTACATATGTAGGTGATAATTACACAGTACCACATTCTTTCCTAAGACAGTTTAGAAACCAAACTTTCCATGAGCCAAACCAGAATCAAATTAGGGCTATGTAAAAATATTTTAATTTAAATGAACCAAATATGTTTTTAAAAATAACTTATGCATTAGGCTCTGCATGAAAAGTTTAAATAACATCTGATTGAAAGCCATTCAAAAATGATCAACGCAGCAGAGCCAACTAGCAAGAATTTGTTAGCCATTCCAGATAAGGAAATAATTTAAGGCATTAGCCTCAGCCCATGGAAAATTTCGCATCTGAACCCATCCTAGGTCATCCTAAGTTACACATATGCCAACTCTCCAGGATATGACCCAAATATCCCAGCCTCACGTATGGTTCACTACATCAGAGGGGGGAGGGGGCAGATTTACGTATTTATCTCATGTGCTGGACATATATGACGTAGAAAAAAAGAAAAAACCATGAAACAACATCAAACATATCAAACCCCTAAACAGAGACACAGAGGTATTTTTTTTACTCCATCGGAGTCCGGTAGACAAAGTAGAAGAGCGATATTGGGGGAGCAAGTACTGCAAAAGAAAGGGTCTCCAGATTTAGATCTCCAGTGGCAAAGGTGTTGAGTCCAGCAAAATTTTAGTCCATCTGACAGCTATACAGGTCACACAAGTAAAAATACATACTTTCTATCATGTTCAGCTTGCAGAAGTGGAAGTATTCCAATTCTTGCATTCATTTTTTCTGTCATGAGTTCACTGAAAAGAAAGAATTATGAAATAAAGACCATGCTGTCAGGCTATTTTAGGCTACCAAACTAGCTACAGCTAGTACCATTTTAGCATTTAGTAACACGATCGTTCATCATCTCTTTTACTTTATAGTCTCAACTGCACTAGTTCAATAACACGCAACTTTCAACGTAAGAAAGTACAAGATGTTTAACTCTGAAACGAAAATTTTACTTAAGACAATTAGGCCCTTATACAAAGCTCGTGTAAAGGCAAAAACCAATTTAAGATCGCCTAATATTTACCAAGACTTGGAATCTTATATTTGATCGAGCAACCTATACTAACTCACCAGCGTCGCCTATTTCCCTTGATAACGTGATAAAAACCAAACGCCATCACAGCAGCACCACCAATAAATATCATTAATCCAGAGGGACCTCTTTTCGGAAGGTTTCTGGAGTATTCTATAGCAGGGTAACCACCTTTAGGTGGCAACTCTTGTTTAACCAAGGACGACGCCATTTTGGATTTTACGTTCGACCAGCTCTTCTGGTTCCCAGTCCCCGGGCAAAAGATAGGTCTGCATTCCGTACAGAGTTCAGTGCTTTAACGGCTGCCACGCGGGCTACGAAAACATCCAAAAAAACTAAACAACAAAAACACTATTTCTTTTTTTCTTTTTCGAAAAAGAAATTATGACATTTTATAAACATGAGGTGAAAGTCTATCATAACAGGAACAGCAATAGCAATGGTGTTGTCACTTGCCTTGAAAGCAGGGCTCAGTCTAGCAATTGTGAATGAATAGAGTTAGTGCTAATAATTAATCTGCGTTTCAAAAGTCCTGCATTTTTTATTAATGTCCAAACGTCAAGCCGACTAGAATGCACTTTCCCGTCATGATACAACATTAGGGAAGAGCTCAGTATAATCACTGATAAAAATTTGAGATAGACATGGTAGACTAAATCTTGCACTTTGCCAAGTTAGAAAAAGGTATTCATAGTGAAAAGAGTTTATGAATAGAGGGTCAATACTTCTCTCTTCTAGAATGCCGTTGGGTGAGTGCGAACCCCAGGAGGCATTTATAACACAACTGCAAATCCCTCCACTACTCCATAGTGGTATCTGTTATTGGACAAAGTGTCGTGTTAGGGAGAGGGGTAGGCGAGTAGCTTCCCGGAATTTACTACAGTCCTGATTCGTAAACAACTCGTTTTGGCTTCATCCCATACACACACCCATCCACCGACACAGCACCACTGATTCTGATAAAACTACTTTAATTCCCCTTTATTCATGGTCAAAAGGTCGAGTGACGACAATGGAGAGCGCCCAACCCACCCTCCCGCTTAGCTGAAGCCGGGTTCGAGCCCACCGTTGATAATTATTTTAATTGAGGTTTCTTCTCTGGTCTATTCATTGCAAATCAGACACCAAATATCAGAAATAGGTTGTTCACCATTTACAAAAAGTTTCCGGAAAATCCACTTGGAAAGTAACTAATGGAACACGACTTTTCGTGTCGTTTAATGGAAAATTTCCGGGAGTAACGGAACATCTGAAAAGGTTTTCCCCTTTTTCCGGACGGAATATTCCGAATAGAAATTCATGTTTCATTTCTTCAAAGCCATCTTTGATACCAGTTTCTGGCTTTCGTGGTCGTTTTTCGGTAAGTGGAACTGATCTGTGAAAATGGTAAACGTTATTCCGGGACAAAATTTATCAGTCCTGATTTGTGCTTACCAGTGATTTACGTAAACCGTCAAACATCCGGTTTACCTTTTCTCATAGCAACGACGGTGTAGCTAAGACTAGAAACTAGACTACACAAGTTACGATTCTTGACACAACTTTATTTAAAGATTGCAACAAAAAAATATCTTATGTCAGTAAGAAGGTACATTTCTCGCTGGGCAAAAACAAAATCTTAGTTCCAAAAAATATATCGGTTACTATCCTAATTTGAGATTACTGTAGCAATCCACATATCAAAGACGTCATTTCAGAAACATAGTACAAACTATCTGATGTGCTTTTGGTAACTGTTGAAAGGAAAGTATTTACATATTTTTCAGGGAACTAAAGGATGGTACGCTTGGAACATGAATTCAAAGGCTGTTTTGACACAGCCAGTACATTTTACACATCACTTTGAAACTATTTAAGCCATTATTTCAGGCAAAACTTGACAAAAATATTATTCTGTAGAGGCAGATTAATAAGAAACGGTATAGCAAAATTTTCCTTGCACTGCATCGATTGAAATCGTTTCCTGTGCGTAAGCATAACTGTCAAAAGCATAAAGATCTGTTTGGGAACTCCAGCTCAGTTAGTTATGTTTAGCTTTTTCGTGGTTCCAAGGTGTAACATCAGATGGAATCTTGTTGTTGATGGCATCAGACATCGTCAACTTCAGTTCATTTGGTGAACTGGAGGCCTTTTGAAGAAACTCTAGCAGAGCGCCTGTAACATAAAATGTTCGGAAGTTTTATTGCAATGGGTCCAGAATCCCCATACTTGGAACTGTTCTGACCCTACAGCGCATGCCAACCTTTTAAACTATATCCTATACGTTATTCTAAACGTTTTTAATTACTGCAACTAATAGAGCATAATCGCCCACTTCCTTAAGTCTTCAGGAGCCTGTGAACAGGCTCTCCGTTTTGGGGAAAGGGAGTTAAAAATCGCGAGAAGACGGCGAGGTAAAAATGGACGAGAGGAAGTGAGGGAATGGGGAAGAGCATCCCCCGTCAATGCACTCGCCCCATCTTAGGAGTCTGTTTCCAGGCTATATGAAAGGTTATGTGAAATGGGACTCCTAAGACCTGCCAAGAAAAATAGAAAAAGCTCTAATGATGTGCAGATGTGAAACAAAAGCCGCACCTTCTGCTTAGTTATTTTTAAAACTTGATTGTTGGTCCTGCAGGCCTACCACTCTGAAACTTGGCACCGAGAAAACCAGTCGAGTCAACCAACTGGTGCTCGACAATCACGATCATAACACTGACCAAAATTGTAGACTAGTACCCAGTGGCTATTTATGTGTTTTGGGGGTGAGAGAAGATTGGGGTTAGGTTGAGGTTCGCCGGGACTCATGGGAAGGGACATGAGTCCCCGCGCGCCTCAACTTAACCCCAGTCTTCTCTCACCCCCAAAAACACATAAATAGCGACTGGGTAATAGTCTACCAAAATCGCCTATAACACAGTCAACATAACACAAGGGAAAAAACTACCTTCTTTTCTTTCACCGTTGTAATCCCCCAGAGGTTTTCCATCATGAAACACCCTTACCGTTGGCAAAAACCTAACGTTCAGTGTTTTACAGACACTTTTTCCTGTTGCAGCACAATTCACCTGTCGGTGGTAGAAAAAAGAAGAAACGATTGTAAAATAAAAAGTCAACTTTATAGCGACGTCTTTGTTGTCAAGGTGAACGTGTGGGCCAGAAGCGCATGTGACCGAGGAATAAGTGGGCTGGGAACCGTTTCAAATTGAAATGCATGTTCTTTCCAGTCTTTCTTACCGCAAAACAATATTGTCAAATCTTTCAGCGTAATGATTCACAACAAGGAAACAAAATAAGAAATACATTACTACAAAAATTAGAGGCTCTCCCAAGAGGTACCCACGGGAAGAGGAAAACGTTTGGTACTAAAATTTTATCTGCTATAATGGGAAGCTCACGCCTATCTTCACAGGCCCACCTCATTGAACTCATTTGTGCGCTTGCCAGGCAAGACTCCCCCACCCCCTCCCCCCCCCACCCTTTCCCTTGCGCATGCTACAGCATAATAAGAGAAGGGAATGGGATCACTAACTCACGAAATGACTAGCACTGAAGTGACTCTCTCTCTGCTGAGCGCACAAGCCGGACCCGTAGAGCGCGTAAGGTATTTACTGGGTGTTCATTTTTGACCCGCCCTCCTGCATATAACAGCAAGCCATTCTGGGATCAGCAATGTCAGGACATTACTGTAGGATGATTCGTGAATCTTAAAGATGGTAACAATTTATGTTAGGATAGTTTTGTTTTGAGAAAGGTGCATTCATTACTTCTCATCCATTCTTAATGCTCTTTGTTATGGCTCTGTACCTTGGCGAAGAACACGTCCAGCCTTAATGATTGCGCTTTCTTGGCAACTTCTTTGTAGATGGGAGCAAATTTTTGACAGTGTGGGCACCTGCGTGCAAAGAATTTAAAAGAAAACTTCTACTCTCTAATGTCAGCCATTGTTATCCAAAACTGCAAATACCAGGAAAATTTCTCTAAAGCGGAGTAATAACGTAAATTCTCGAATCACCCAGGGGGTACTCCATTTTATAAGCCGTATAGGTATGTGCCGCCCCAAAGGGTAGGGTTTTTGGGCCTTTCTGGTCTGAAAACGGGTATACACTTTGCCTTTTTTTGGTCTGGAATCTGGTATGGTTTTCGAGAGAACTACGGGAGCATATGAACGAAGTTATTGTTGAATTCCAAATGAACAAGAACCAAATATGCGAATTCGAAATGCGTATGATGAATAGCCCATTTTCGAGTTCGCTACGACCGCTGAATTAAAGAAGTGAAGACGCATTTTTTACAGCTTTAGCCTCCATCTGAAGTAGTATTTTCACAAATTTCAACGAGAAAAAGACCTGTTTATTACTCTGTCTATTGTGTATATTCAAATTTCAAACACTTACTTGCCAGAATTTCTGAATATTTTACTTTACGTCGAGGCTAACCCTGTATGAATGTGTCGTTAATATTTGTATAAAGCAGTGATATTTAATTCGAAACTGGACTATTATCTTGTTTGCGTTCTAATTTAAGTAATGACGAAATAATTTCTGCCTAAAGGCCGGGTCTGAAAACGGGTATGAATTTTAGAGGTCTGGTCTGAAGACCTGTGTGAAAAATGACATTTTTTGATCTGAAATAAAAAGGGTCAGAATTTGGAGAACCGGACGGCACACCCCCACCAAGAATTCCCAGGAGTACCCCCCGCGTCGAATTAGCACCAAGGGAAGTTATTTTAAATAGTAGGGGAGGGGGCTGAAAGTAATGGCAAACGGACTCGATCGGATTGGATGGAGACTGTTCCTCTTGGCAACAGTCGATCAGACTCAGTTGGTGAGGTGGACTTAGAAAAGTTAAGCAAGGTTTTGGAAAGATCAGGGGGTTGAAAATAATGGCAAACGAACAAGATCTGATCAGATGGACACTGTTCGTGTCGCGGGAAAAGTCGATTGACATGTACTGAATTTGACAATCAAATTCTACCGACTGAGCAAGCATGTGGCCCAAAATGAGGATCTTCTTTTATAACTCAACACTGAGCTGTTGGCATTAGGACCTAGAAAAGCTGTTTCAAAAGTGCTCTAGGATGAAACTTTCCGTGACGCTGATAACCTACCATGGAGCATAAAAATCCACGATGGCCAGTTTAGAAACGGAGAGAAAACTGTTAAAGGTAGCATCCGTGAGTTCGTTGATGTCTTGTCCGCCGCCGGTTTCCAAGCTTTCGGCCACGGCTGTAAGAAATACCACTAAGGCCAACAAGGTCTTCATTTTTTACGCTATGTTTTTCCCGTTGAACAAAACAATTTCCTTTGTTAGTGCAATAAGAAGTGGCAAAAACCGTTGCGTAGGCAGATATTTGCGTGGTGTAATATCTTATAGATGATATGGACCTGCCCGCAAGACCCGTAATTATTTTTGTAACAATATCACTTTATTTACCTTCATTAGCAACCGCCACCAGAAACACCAGTATAAGCAAATAACTGAGAACGCAATTAAACAAAACTCTGATTAGGATGAGCCGAACGCACGACAGCTGATTTGTTTTGCCTCAGTTGAAGAAGTCATTCTTAATTAAGTAAATAGTTAATTTACTTTATTCCAAAGAATTAATCACACAGACCTTCTTTATGTGGGTATGTGGTTCTAAGGGTTTAGACTTTGGATGAGATTATATATTCAAACGAAACATAATAGTTTTTTTTTATTTTCTAGTACACTGAATAATGAAATTTTGATTTTTTTTTCTTTAATCATTTGGGTTCTCTTGGAAGAGACTTTGACGAAAAAAGGGGTGATACGGAAATCTAGTAGTGGCGCGTAACCTAATAGTTCAAACATGGAACATCCAAAGTAAATATTGTCAATTGCAAGAGATTATAATGAGTAACGTTTAACATGACAAGGACGGTAAGAAGCATTAAATTAGGGAACCATTTAACGGGTTTCATCACCCTGCAGACGATGTTCATGCAAAAGAACCAGAAAAGTACGCATGCGGGTGCTTTGGGGAACCCAAGAAACGACGGGCTCTCGGGACGAGAATGGGAACTAGGATGGGTTTCCAATATCTTGCCTTTCAACAAAAATATTTTATCTCAAAACCAATCGTATTCCAATGAAGTTTCCTCCATGGTTCTTCAACTAAACTTGGAACACCATATGAATTTAGTTCCAGTAATCTAGATTCAGAAAAAAATATCGTATTTTCTTAAAACAAAAGGTACGGGTGGGTTATCGCACGTACAACGCGAACGGGTGGGCTGCATAAGAGAAGCAAGGCCGTTGTATGTATTAGTCTATCGGTCGGTCTTTGATTTAGTCTAGAGCGAAATCAGTAGAGAATATTTGCAAAAAATATTTTTTCGGCCCTTCGGGCCTCAGTTTGGTGTAAAAATAGGGGATGGGCCCCTCCCCTGAATCCGCCACTGCTGTTTACCAGTTTTTTAACTCTTGTTTAGCGCGGGAAACACTTCTACCTGCGTTTACCTGTTCTTTCAGTCGTCCTCGAAACTAACGGCTAACAACGTCATTAGATAAGTATTAGGTCTGGTGGCAGAGCCATTCAAGGCTTCTAATCTGCCCTTCCCCTTAGCTAATTAACTAATCAATCTGCCAAGCAATTTAGCGCACTCACTTGCAATCTTACGAGCTCAACGCCGTGTTGTCAGTGTGTGCAGATCAAAGTTGTCAGAGGTACCTGTTTGCTACCAGCGAAAGCCAGCAACCTCGTTCCCAGGGTATTCTCTTACTGACGAGTAGGAGAGAACACTGGAAACGAGGTTCCGACAAAAAGGCTTAAGCACCAATGTTTATGGATCAGCTGAAGATTCAGAAAAACTGCCCACCTTCCTACCCCTCCCCGTAACCGACATTTTACCTTAAGTGAGAAGTGATTGTTCTGATTGTCAACGTTGGGACAAAGGAAGCTAGGATAGGTGTGAGGTGGTCCAATAGTCTTAGACCCTGTTTACATGGAGTGGGGGACCCCGGTCTAGTGGGGTAGGTTTCTTTTGTTTTGTGACCCCCAGAGCGTGAAAACAAAAGAAACCAACCCCACTAGACCGGGGTCCCCCACTCCATGTAAACAGGCCCTAATTCAGGGTTAGGGGTGGATAGAAGAAATTAAAAAGACAACTAAACAAATACACAAATTGATTCAGCAATACTTTTAATTTAATAGCCATTTACAGCAAGATTTCTTTTGAGCTCATCAGCTCATCAGTTCATCCTAAAAAAATCACTGAAATAACTATCTTTTTAATTACTAATACTTAATGTACAGTATGGTGTGTTTTGTCTGGGAAAGTACAATTGTTATACTGTTCTGACGGTTAAGATATATATTCACTAACACACTCTTATGCACCTGAATACTCCCTTTTTTTCATATTTTGTTCATGGTCTTTGATGCAATGTTCACTAGCAACCGTGGTGGTTATTCCACAACCTTATTCATGGACCAACCTGATCAACAAGACTTCAGGTCTACCGTTGTAAAAAGACATCGAAAGATAGTGTTGTAGTCGGAAAAGGCCTTTTTTGCATGATATTTTAAAATATTTCGGGATTATGGAATCGAATATTCTTTTCGCAGCTTCGCTCAGACTTTTGTAACATCCAACAAAAATCTTTGGCTTGTGAGACTCTAAGACCAACGCTGTGGATGGGTTACATGAAGATCCACATTGGGACTTGCTTGGCAAAGATAAAGGCTTTATTGTTCGTCGCCTATTGAGCAAATTTCTCGAAGTCCGAAGTGATTAATCTACACTGTCGCATTCTGCAGCAGGTATACTTTGGGGAGGGGTGGGGGGCTGCCAAGCTAAAGAAGGTCTTAGTATAGCTGGAACGTGAGTGCAAAACTGGACGCTGAGAAAGTCCTAGATACAGGTTTTTACAAATAAAGGCAACGTTGAGACATCATCCTTGCCATCGAAAGGCAGAACTCATATTAGTTTACACTGTTCAAACTTTTAAAAGACTTGCAATCGATTATTGCTAAGATCAGACACAACAATATAGCCGCTATTGGGCATAATCGCAACGCTTTCTGGGAAGGACAACTGTCCATCTCCACTTCCCTCGGACCCAGCTTCCTTAATGAATCTACCTTTCGCGGTCAAGATCTGAAAGCGGTGATTTCCCATATCGGCTATCACAAGATTGCCAACGATATCGACAGCCAATCCACGTGGATGCGAAAATTGCCCCTCCCCTGATCCTTGGCTCCCAATCTGTCGCAGAAATTTCCCATTCTTATCGAACTCTTGAATGCGGTGATTTTTTGAGTCGGATACGAAAATGTGTTCATTTTCAGGATTAACTAGCAGATAACACGGGGAGTTGAAGTTCTCAGAACCACAACCGTAAGAACCAAACTTTGACACAAACTTCCCTTCCGGTGAGAAAACCTGAACTCGATGATTTTCCATGTCGGCGACAAGAATGTCATTCTTCTTGGAAGTCGCCACCCCCCAGGGAGACTTGAAAAAGCCATTGGTAGTACCTTCACGGCCAAATTTTCCAATGAATCCGCCGTTGCGATTAAGGACTTGAATTCGATTATTCCCATTATCACAGACGATAATCCTTCCTTTGCTGTCGATGGCAACATCTGTCGGGCAATTGAACTCGCCTTTGCGCTCTCCGTGCGAACCAAACTGGGTAACGTACTCTCCCCTAGGACCAAAGACCTGAATGCGGTGGTTGTAACTGTCGGCAACGTAGATGTAACTCTCGTGGTCTACCGCAACCCCGAACGGGGATTTGAACTCGCGCTTCTTGCTGCCATACTGGCCAAACCGAAGAAGCGTCGCGCCAACATCAGAGTATTCGCGCCGGTTAATAACGACCACAGTGAAGGGGCTGCCCATGATTGGCTTATCCTGAATGGCAACAGACACTTCATGTTTGCCATTCACCTCTGGCATGTAAGACACAATATATGTCCCGTCCCCTAGATAGAGAAAGGCAGGAAACCATAAATTATGTAACGAAATTACATACAAGTTATTCAAGTTAAATATTTTGCCCCGTGTTTCTGTTTTGATTTTTCTATGTTTGGGGTTTGCTCACTGACTCACGGGATATGATGTCATAGCCCGCTTGCTCTGTCGTGACCTTCCATTTCAACTAGAACAGGACACGACCTTAGAGAAGGAGAGCGACACATCCTGGCCCATGCCGACTGAGCGCGATCCATCTAACGCAGAATTAGTGCTGTACTTTTCACTCGATAAAGTACTCAATGTTACAATTTGTATTTTAATCGCACGCAACATGACCGCCAGTTTTCCTGGCTTCCACAGTTCAATCGCCAAGAGAATCTACCTAACTTTTACTGCGAGTAAGGCTGATTTTATTTGCTAGCTTTGGAAAACCCAGGTTACCTATGGCCTTTCTCCTTTTTGTCTTTTATCTTGAAGTGTTTTGCTATTTTTTAATCATTAGAACGATTACGATAATTCTTCTTATGTTGGAGTTGTGATACCCTTTGATAACCTTGATGAAAGTCAATATCTGGATTCATAAACATACCCTCGTCCTTGACTGAGGCTGGAAGATGAGTTCCATCAGGTTGTGTTATGGCCACAGTCACTCTATCTCCTCCTTGTTGCCTCTGGCCATGTCGATCCTTGGTGGTCAGCTTAAACGTCGTCTCCATCTTGACACGCGCTGTATGAATGCCATCTCCACTCGCGAATGAAATCGAGGCAAAGGTGCTGCTTGATCGAATGTTACCGAGTAACTTGGAAACATCCGTCGCCGTTGCTGGATCGTGAACGTATTGGATCGTGTCGTCTTCCTCTGGCTCAAAGTTGACCTTTACATCGTTTAGGATCTCTAAACGCCCTTTCATCTGTAGAATTTCAACCTCGTTGCCAAACTTCATGACGTTATCAGCAAACTCACAACAACCAGATAGTTTCCCTAGCTCTAGCTCGATGCTATCCTTTTGCAAGCAGAGAACTTTCTGTTTGGCTATGTGGATGTCATCAAGTTTCTGTAACAGGCTTTTCTGACCCCCTCGCAACGCCTCTATTTTTGCTTGCGTATTTTCACATATTTCTTTGGTAATGGCTTCCTTGCATTCTGTCAGCCTCTTTGACATTTCCCGGACTTCGGTCAGCGTTTTCCTCAACTGAGGCATGCGCGACTTAACTTGTTCAAGCAAGTCTGCGATAGCTCCTCGTCTGGCAGGTAGTGCTTCTCTGGGGTACACAAATTGGTGTTCCCTATGCTCGAGAATGGTGCAGACTCTGCAGATTGCATCGTCACAAGTGTTACAAAAATACTTGATCACATTTCTTGTGTGGTACTTGCAAAACGACAAGCAGTACTTATCCAGCTCCTGCGACTCCTGAGTATCGTCGTCTTCGCTGGTTGCAATGATTCTGTGGTCGACCGTGGCGTGGGCACGCTTATGTTCTGCAACGCAGCTAGTGCACAGATCCCTGCTGCAGTCTATGCATCTCGAAGTTGCGATATCAGCCGTTTTTGTGCTATCACAGGCTGTGCATTTTTTGTTCTCACGAATTTCTTTTTTCAGCTCTTCAGATTTCTGTTGCACCAAGTCCAACATTTGAGTGACAAAAAAGTTGGGCATCAGGTAATCAACGCCTTTTTCTGGGAGTTGGGTCTCGGCTCGGCACGTCGGGCAGGTGATTATGGGCGTAGGGTCATTATTAACGATTCTGTGCAAACACTGAGAGCAAAAAGTGTGAAGGCATTGCAGAAACAACGGCGACGTCAGGCGTTCGAGGCAAATGGCGCACATAAGCTGCTCATTAATCTGCTCGATTACTTTGATGGCTAACGCCATGGTGGCTCCGTTTATAAACCTGTTGAAATTAGAGAGATTCTTTTAAAGGAATGACATGACAGGGCATTAAATTTTATTCACTTAAACAGTTGACAGAAAAACGTGTCTGAGCAGTTTAATTTCATATATATGCATAGAAAGGATTCGACCTCATAGCTATCCGAAAAGACTGACCAACGCAGAGTTTATTCTGTCTTATGGCGAGTTATATAAGTAGAAAGTGCTATTTACATGTACACTTTATAACCGGGTTTTACACGAAGACCTTGCACTACTTACGCCCATTGTGAGCGTCTATGACATTTAAGGTTAAATCATCTTAAAACACTTAACACATATCACTAAAATTTAAATTTTTAAATGTTTTTTGAAAATTGTAACATTTATATATAACAACGGCACAGTGATACTGGAAAGTAAACTATCTAAACCTAAGAAAATAATAGAACAGTAACGTACAAATTTGAACCTTTGAACCCTGTAGTCAGTGTATTTGTACATGTGTAGCTGTAAAATGATTCGCAACTTCATTCAACAAAGCTTGGTGCGACACACAAATTTGTAGTCTCCGTTGAACACGTATGGAGCTATGAAATTAAATTTAGCCATGAAGTTTGAGTCCTTAGACGGACGAGCCTTAGCTTTCTTTAGTGGTCAGGGCGGGAACGTGCCAGGACTAGGCGAATACAATTGACTTGTACATGTTATAATTATGAAACTCCTGATTACATCCCGGGGGGGGGGACTCCCACATGAAACAGACGGGGATGCTCGTCGGAAATTTTGAATTTAACCCCTAAAGGAGACCATCTGGGCGTGGCTCAAGCTTTTTGTGACCCCTAAAAGAGACCAATCTGGGCGTCGCTTAAGCAAATTTTGACCCCTAAAAGAGACCGCTTAAAAACACACAAATACGACATGCAATGAGTTTTAATGATACAAAAGCCATAATCATCGAATGCTCTTATCTAAAAGTAGTTTTTAAAAGCATTGTCATAAATAAGTTCTTCGCGGAACCCTAAACGAGACCTTGGCAGATTAAAATATTAGCGCTTTCCCGGAACACCCTCGAGACCAAAATCCAAAATTTACTGTTTCCCCGTCTGTTTCATATGGGAGTCCCCCCCCGGGATTACATCCACTTTCTCAACTCTGTTTGACATCCCCTCAATAATAATGATATTAATAATAATAAAACTTTGCTTTTATAAGCTTTGCTCTTCTTTATCTCATAGCATAGGATCGTGCGTATAGATTCTGTGACTCTTGGTTTTATGAATCTCGTTGTAAACCATTGTTGATGGCCCCTTTATAAAAGCAAGGAATCCGCCCGAATTATAATGGCCTTTGTGAGTTGTGACCGTGCAGCCTGTGTACAGTCGCCCCCTCCCCTAAAAAAAATCGATTTGTTTGAGAGGAGGAGGCAGTTGTAAAAAGGCTATGACCGTGGAACTGAATCATTGAAACCTGGGAGGTCCCAGAATCTCTTCGTATGGGAAAGGCTAAAATCACTTTTCCATCTTCAGGCACCAGTTCCAAAATGGTAAATGAAATAATGGCTAGCTCGACAAAAAAAACACAACGATGCCACTTGCTCCTTCTACATGGTCCTTCGAGCCGGATGATAATTCTCTACATACATCTGTAATTATAGCCTTCGTACTACGAAGAATAGACGACTGTAGAAGGGTTTATTAACTCATGTTGAATCCGTTGTATTAAATGCATTGTTTGATAAAGCAATTTTCCACACAAAGCAATTTTCTCACTCAACGAACTTATCATTCGAAACGTGCAATGATTTTTCAAGGGTGTATCTTTGCGCCTCTGGCCGTGCATAACGGAACGAAACTATGCAACGCTTATTCCTTTGACCAATCTTGAAGAGCAAATTTCTTGGAACGCTGCGTCTGAAGTAGGACCATTAATCAAAAAACCCATTGACTACTAAGATCATACAGCTGCTTTGTTCATTTCCTTTACTCTGAAATGACTGGCAATTAAATTAGGGGACTTGACATTGTTTTGTTCGAACTTTCAATACTCATTATTCATTTGATTAAGTTACCTGTTCTGGGAAAGAAAAAGAACAGGATATAAGGAAAAGAAACGATTTGTAAGTCATTCTTGCTTATAAGTATATAGACTCTGTGTCGAAGCCAACAAAATGCGCACCAAACTTTATAACTGTCTGTCACCAAAAATGAATACTGATTCTAGAATCAACTCATATGCAACCCGGTTGCAAATTTCATTAACACTGTTATTAGAATACTTTATCTTGGCGCTGTTCCATAGAAAAAATGACAATAGTATCCCTGATAGCATAAATTCTAACGGGTTACTGAACAGTAAAAAAGATTTGACTGCATTGGTGATTGAAAGACTATTGATTATCTTACACTTATGTTTTTTCTTTGGATTGATATGACTTATGATCTCTTTACTGATGGTCTAACTTTAATACTAACTTTATTCTAGGGAGTCCATCTGATCTAGTTTCGAGGAAAAAGAATTATCGTCTTAGTTTAATTTCCTTTCTAGTATTTTACACAAAATTAACTGAATATTGTTTTGCAAAGTTAGAAGCTTTGGAAACTCAAAGTTCTAAAACGAATTAATTCTTTTACTTATTTTCGATAAAAGTAATTTTTGCTCCGTACGATCAAAAGTGAGAAACGATTACAAAACTTAGATTTATATTAAAGACTGATTGTTCTTTAAATTTATTTAGATTTTTAAGCCGCTTCGGTTTCAAGATCAATAAAATTAAAACAACTAAAGTCAGCCCGTGATTTTAAGTCTAAAAAGCCAACTAGAACCAAATATATCTTTACAGCCCTATCTTACCTTCTTTATAATATATACGAGTAGTCCAGTGAAACAAATGAATAAATCTGAGATATTTTAAAATCTAGAGACGTCGCTAGCAAGAAAAATGAAATATCCTTTGTTCTTAGGCGATCAGTTCACCAGTGTGCAGTCAATGATATGGCAATCTTACGTAAACCTGTTGACCTGTACGCCGGTGATCATTGACCAATCACGTCAAGCGGAGAGACTTGTTATTGGCACCATGTAATATCTTAAACAGGTTGATAAGCAGGTTTTATCATTCATCGCAACTTTTACTTGATAACTGTCGATGGCTTTATTATTTCCCGGCCGGGAACAAGCTATACTCCCGCTGCGAAAATTAACTACTGTTAACTTAAACTATGCTTGTGAAGAGGACTACAAACAGTTAATGAGTTTTCTGATCAACTGAAAGTCTTTTAAGAAATTAAATACCCAGATTTTAAAATTAACACCTATCAATTCAGTTGAAAAGGACACTGTGGTGGAGCGAGACAATTTTTTTCTTATCAAATCGGTTGATAAAGACAATTATTAAACTCCACCGAAAAAAAAAATTCGATTATTATTTCGTCCCAACGAATTTTTTGGACATGCCAAGGTTTCCAATGAAATCTCAGTCGATCTGAGGTGTCCTGGTCGAAGATACATTTATTCACTGTCAAGCTGTCAACTCATAAGGTTTCAACGGGAAATGCGACGCTGGTGTACTTTAACTAAAATCCGCAGAAGCCGCGATGCCAAAACAGCGGTTCAATTTCACAGTTACAGTTCAGGTAGTTCGTTAAATGTGGAAGGCGCTTAAAGTATTAACCTATGAAGGTTGCTGTACAGTGCACACGAATCTAGATTGAACCTGACTCGGCTTCAGTGCAAGATCAATCTAGTCACTGACTTACCGTACGTCAAGGCTTCAGGTTGATTGGGACGCGAGGTAAACCTAAGAGAACTTGTACGAATTTTACTTCAATTGTTACTTCCCTAAATGATAACTCTAATAATATTAACATTCGAGTCAGTAAGACGCCAAACCATATTACCCAGGATACCGCGGATTATATCAGTGGGGGATCCAGACCTTCACATAAGGGGCGGCCCGGTCATCCAGACCCTGAGATAATGGGGTGGGGGGGCGGTCTCAAAAAAGACTTTTTGCGGCTTTTAGGGCCTCAGTTTGGTCTAAAAATAAGGGGCGGCCTCCGCTGGATCCGCCACTGAAATCGAATATGATTTACACTCGTATCAGAACTGACCCAGTCTGCCAGTTTTCTAACCTAAGAGTGTCACCGGAACAGACCTCGGTACATACAGCGCCGACCCCTAGTAGGGTATACTTGGGCCGGAAGGTATTGCCCGTTCCTACTTAGAATTATTGCGGGCGACAAGAGGAGCCGATTGCTGTTCCAGGCTCCAAGATAGTATGTGCAGAGATCATGAAAATTAAAACGCGTTATTTTTGCACCCGTCTTGTTTTCACTACGTTCCCATCCATCTGAGAGCATGGTACAGGCTATTTTTTGATTTCTTCATTTGACATTGTCGTTTCCGTCCTCGTGGTGGTTTCTTAAGAGTGGATTCATTTGCAACATACGCGTATACCTTCGTATTTGTCCGCTGTAATTGTCTCGGGGGGTACTCAATGGCCTGTACGGGAAGGCTCCCCCGAAAGGGGTAACTTTTTCAGTCCTCAGGTTTAAAGTGAAAACGAATAGCAAAATCCCCGTTTCGTTGATAAAGAAACAAAATGTTAGGCACGTTTTCTCCCGACCTGACTGACTGCCTCTGGGAAGCCCATACGTATGCGGCCGAGGATAGGTTTTGATAGATTGTGCTCGCAAAAGTAGCACAATATGCTACTCGGGCGGTGCTCGAATATTTTTAAAATTATGCCAATAATTTTGCTAGTTTTTGTAAATTATGCTCATGTTAGCAAAACAACAACAACAACAAATAAAAAAACAAAAATTGTGCTTCTTCTTTTTGCTTTAAATTTGGTAGAAGGACCTCAATAACTATGCAGAAAACAACCAGGAGCAACCCCAGGAGCCCATTATCGGCTCCTGACAACCCTTACTGCTTTATTATGTAACCATGTTGTTCTTATGCTAGCTAGTATTTTTTAAGCATAATTTCCACAACAAAAGGAAGGAAGTTTGTATCAAAACATAGTCAACCTCAGCCTCACGTTCCCTCAAAGGCTAGAATATTAAGCTCACAATTGTAAAATGGTCTATTAACAACCCATGAACACGCGGCGCCATCTTGCATAACCAAGTTAGTTATGCCCATGCGTTGAGTCCTGTGTAAAGAGTCCTGGGACACTTCCTTCTGTCGCACCCAGTGCTATGAATGTGACAATAAGCAGACACAAATTTGATTTTGTTACTCAAATTTGCCCGGTATTGATCTAAGGCCAAAAAAATTGGTTGAGTGATCAATAAATGAACATTTTTGACCTGCAAAACTACCCAAAAGTGAAGATTATGCTAGCAGTGCTTTTTGCGGAAAATACGGTCATTGCTCGTAATAATGAATTATGCCAAAAATTATGCCATCACGTCGCGTCAAAGCCTATCCAAGTATGTGGGCTGCCTGTGGTAAAGTAAAATCAGTGACTTCCGGTTTGCCTCTTTCTCGATCTCAACCGCATGAAAGTGAGGCTAAAATTTCCAGTGATTGTGCAACTTCACCCCCGTCTCTTTCCTTTTACTCGCTCTACGCCATTTTGGTAGCAGTTTTCTGTTTTGATAACCAGAGACAGCTCTACCATCATGGTGAGTCGCCATCCTCCTTCCATCGTTGACAATCCCAAATAACAAGTGTCTGATGACTCTATCTCTGACTGATAAGTCTAATTTTATCCTTTTAATATAGCAGAAAATGTTGTATTATTTCTAAGCTACAGCTTTTTAAGCAGCCATTAATTTATAGAACCGGCTCCGAAGAGAAACAGACGTATTCTTTGAGTATTGTTATTTGTTTTTTTTAAACTAACCTTCTGTATATCTTACTTTTTTGCAGCCGAACTTTACGATAGATCAGGTGAGAGAAAATAAAGGTTGGCCCTCGTTTTGAAATTTGTATGTGAAACGTGGATCACGGTTGTATCACGGAGGTTCAGCAGTTAAAATGCTATAGTTATGTATTCTGTCTTTTTACGTATATTGAAGATTTCTATTATATTTAGTCTCTGATACTTTTTTGTAAACTGAATTGAAACACCATTGTCCATCATGCTGACAATTTACAAAAAACTCGCATGGTAATGTTCTCTGCGGAATTTGGATTTGGATTACAGTCTCCCCCCATGACGGTGTCAGACTAGTTTCATGAAATAGCGATGTATGTTTTTCAAAGTCACTTTAGTTAGGTTGCATAACATCCCTTACAATTGGAAAGGCTTGTGGTCGTAATAACAGGCTTTGTTCCTTTTGTCGATCTCCGACTCGATCTCTTTTGAAACCATAAGAGAAAAATGGACATTCCCGTGGGAGTTTGTGTTTTTCATAGTTCATACAGTTTACAAATTGGGCTAAAGCTGTTGGCCCCCAAGTAGACCTAGATACACAGGGCTCAAAGTTTAAATTTGAGTTTGGGAGCACTTGTGCTACCAGATGTAAATTTTTAGGCACACAGCTGAAGATTTTAGGAGCACAGCTTCTAATGTTGGGAGCATGTATTTTAAAAAAAAAGGTAAAAAGCTTAACAGTGCCACTTTTGTATGTCATCTTCAGTTTGTTAGTTTTATTTCAGTGCCGTGATTGATAAAGCAGTCTATTTGCTACGAAGCAATACCGTTGTGATTTTTAATACTACTATTCTCTTTTTGACAGTACAGTTGTGACGAAAGAAAACTTTCACTTGAAAAAAAATTCAAAACTGACAACTTTGAGTGTATCAAACGAGAATGAAAATTTATCTTTAATGAATTTGTTAAATGCTATGGCGTACATGTAACTGGGATATTACTTAAAAACTTTCTTAACTGGAAAAAAAGGTTCTAACTGCACTGTTTTTGTTTTGATTGACCTTAACATTGAACTTTTGACAATGTTGTCCATTGCACAAAAAGCACTTGTTTCGTTCGTAGCATATTTGCATGTGTCAGTGGCGTTTATTACAAAACAGAAGAGTCTGGAATGGACTACAACATCAAAATGAAAATGAACATTCGAGTTTGTGGAATGCAGTGGGAGAAAAGACGAATTAAACATACACAGATGAAAGGAGAACAATGTACTTTATTACTTAGAGCCTGGTTGTGCTATTTCTACATTACTTTTACTTTCATTGCTCAAAGTTACTGTTTAATGGCTTTCTAGTTCGAGTACGTAGGTATGGTCGGAACCAAGTTGGTCGCACTGTGCATTGGGTTTTATGGCACACAGGTGCGATTACACATGAATTTTTAGGCGTACAACCAAAAATCCAGTCGCACATGCAACCAGTTAGTCGTTAACTTTGAGCCTCGATACAAATATCTCGAAAAATTGCCAAAATATGTTTCCAAAAATTCCCGATTTTTTTTCTAAATATCTCCAAATTCCCCCTTTTACCTTCAAAAAATTTTGAGAACCCCAGCAAGAATCCCCTAAATTATCAATGATTGAAACTACTTGGAAAAAAGGTATTTGCCTTTTAATAGACACGTTAACTGAAGGTGTATTCCATTCTTAAAGTTTGTATCACAAGCTCGTTGATTTAAACTTGTTAGATTCGTTCCATTATGGACAAGAAGCATAACATCCGGAACATGTCAGTCATTGCCCATGTTGACCATGGTAAGTCGACACTGACTGATTCTTTAGTCAGCAAAGCTGGAATTATTGCAGCAGCAAAAGCAGGAGAACAAAGGTTTACAGACACCAGGAAAGATGAGCAGGAGCGCTGCATTACCATTAAGTCAACGTAAGTGTTTCTTTTAGCCTTCCTTCTCTATCATTTATTTTAGGAGTTGCAACATATGAATTAGGGTTCCATGAATTGTGTGAAATTATACAGCAATTTCAAAGCCTTGTTTATCTGTTAATCAAGCAAAAAAGTGGAGGAATTGAATGATTTTGCTCCTTTTGGCTAATTCCTAATATTTTGGAGTAATTTTTATAGGGAGTGCCCATTAGACAAGTCACTTTTATTAGAGAGGGGCATTGAATACAATTTTAACAGTGTAGAGGGGTGTTTGCTAGATAAAAGGCATTTAATTAGGATTGGGTGTGTGTTAGGAGATTTATGGTAGCTGCATTTAATTTTACACTGTACAATGTGGTGTATTACCAGCAATCCAGGATGAATGGGCAGCTAGGGTAAACAGCAAAGGAACGGGAAAGCTGTTATCTAAACAAGCTTAATTTTTTTCAGAGCCATCTCCATGTACTATGAGCTTGGTGAGAAAGATTTGGCTTATATCACTGGTGAACGGGATGGGAATGGCTTTCTTATTAACCTAATTGACTCTCCGGGACACGTCGATTTTTCCTCAGAAGTTACTGCTGCTCTGCGTGTAACTGATGGTGCTCTTGTTGTTGTGGATTGTGTTAGTGGTAAGTTTTTAGGATAAATTGAATAACTTCCTTGGTTAGTGGTTCACTGATGGTCTGTTAATCCTACAGGCAGTGACCATAATGTAGCCTTTAGACAGTGTGAAGTATCAGTTTTATCTGCATTTTCTGACTTGAAAGTAAGTGAAGAAGAGGTTTAAAGATTCTGCATTGCATTTATCTCTAATAGGTGTTTGTGTCCAGACTGAGACAGTGTTGAGGCAGGCTATTAGTGAACGTATCAAGCCAGTTCTCTTTATGAACAAAATGGATCGGGCTCTTCTAGAACTGCAGTTAGAGATGGAAGATCTTTATCAAACTTTCCAGCGAATTGTGGAGTCTGTCAATGTTATCATTGCTACATATGCTGATGATGATGGTCCAATGGGATATATCCAGGTTAGTTCGTATAAAATTGCTGCCAAATAGAGGTATTTAATTTGCACAGTTGCAGTCGTCTTACCAATCTTATTGTGTCATGCTTGAATGGCCCATGGATTGCTTAACTGTGTATGATCTCTGGTTTGGCCATAAACTTATGTTTTGGGTTGGTGTCTGTAGTTGCCTAACAAAATAATTATTACCGCATTTATTCAACTATAAGCCAAGTGATTTTTACACAAATTAAAACTGAAGTGAATTAATATTTGGGCTCTAGAAGGGGTCTCGGCTTATAGCCGAAAGTTTTTGAAAAAAAAATTTTTCCGGCACATGGAAACTCTGCTAAATAAAGATGTATTTACGTATAAGCCGAGCTAAAGTAAAGAAACACAATATGCAATCGTTTGTTATTAACTTTTAAGAATGTGGTGGCTCCTAAAGGAGCCCTTTGTTAAATTTAATGAGTTTTCACAGAAAAGATAAAGATTCTTGATACGGAATAACCGTGACGCTGACGGGATGTGAATACAAATCGATGGATCTTGACTGTTTGCTGCTCCAAATCTTCTGGCTGAGAGAGTGTTGTTTCGGTGCGAAGGCTGACGGAATGGCGGCACTTCCATTTCTGGTACCAGCCAAGGGACTCTTTAAACTCAGGATCCTCGCTGAATTCCTTTGCCTTTAGACGTAGCATCAATCCACTAACAGCTATTCCTATGCAAAACGAAGTGAGAACAGGGCTCGAAATTACGACTGATACGGTCGCCAATATGACTAACATTTTTTCCGTGGCGACTAAAAATTCTGGTTTAGTCGCCAAAGTGGTGACCAGATTTTAGAAGAGTAAAATTAAAACAAACATTTCATCTTATCTTGCTTTTCTTTCATCATGGAAAATGTGCCAAATCAATCACATAAACAAAGCCAGTTTACCTCCAAATTTATACTGACTTCAAGATATTTTCAAATGTGATGGATTGCACCATACTATGCTGGGCTTCTGATAGGTAGTGGAAAAAAGGCAAATTTTGCAGGATTTTTAGGGGCAAATTTGCGGAAACATCGACCAATTTTGCAGCACTTTCGCGGGAATGTTTGGGGCAAACGTCCCGGAAAATCAATCATTAAAAAAGGCCGATTTTGTGGTTATTTTTGAGGGAAAATTTTGTCAGATATCGATCGGTTTTTGGCCGATCAGACCAGCATTTTTAACGTTTTAATAACGGGGTCATCCTTTGCTCTTTCAACGACAATACGCTCCAGAAATGAACCAATGGCAAAGCCTTTAACATCATGGCTAGTGCCCAATTTTCGCAACGTAATCTACGCCTGGTAGTTTCGGGACGTTATTTGCACGTTTCAGTGACGAAGTATCAAGATTTACGGCAAGTAAATAGCCCCCAATAGCTGAGATAAGTTTCAAATATGTTGTACAGACATGTATTTGATAAGATTTCTACTGAATTTCGCGGTATTTCGCGTGTTTTTGTAAATTTCGTGGCTCTGCTCCTGCTCGAAATATCAGAAGCCCTGTACCTATGAGCTGCGTCATTTACATTTTACAAACTGGCGACTAAAAATTTGCATCTGGCGACTATATTTCTCCGGTTGGTCGCCACAAGGCGACCTGAAGATTTTTTTAATTTCGAGCCCTGGAGAAGGTTACCAAACGATCGAAAGGTTAAAAATTTGACACGTCTTGAATTTGTTTTGACATTTGTGAAAACTGGCCAATAAGAATCTTTCATACACAATGTTGTCACATGATACTACGATAGTTTTGAGAGTCACACATTCAACTCATATTCACTCTGCAATCAGCTGATTGATTTATTTCGTGATCTTGTTTCTGTTGTTTTAAAATACAAAATCAATGCTCGACAAAAAACTTACCTTGGCTTCTCTGCTCTGTAAACCATTCCAGTATTCTTTGATCGAGCTCCGGATACTTTGGCGTGAAGCATCCCATCGTCTTCCGTTTCCTCGCTGTTAAAAAGGTTTGCTTGATCTTTCCTCCAGCGACGGACCATTGACTCACTGATGCCATATTGTCTGGCGATTTCAGAGTTATTTTCAACAGCTTCTGCTTCAGCGAGTATTTTAAGTTTAAACGCGAGGTTGTATGACGTGCGACGAGCCGTGGGCATGATGACAACTTTACTTGAAATAAACGATTGCGAACACGAGATTGTTTGATAGACGCTACGGATGTCTAGGTACTGGTGATGCCGCTTAACAACACAGTTAGTTTTAAATTCATTTTTGGAACACATTAATTCATCTGATTCGTTGCTTTTCAATTGAATAGTTAGTTACGGGTAATATTTATTAATTCGTGTGTGTTTTCTAAGAGGGAAGCTTTTTGCATAATAAATCACCATTGCATCTCTTGTATACGCGTGTGTGTGTTATCGTCTAAGCCTCATTTTGTGACAATCAATGTGATTTTTTTCCAAAAATGTTAGGTTTTCTCGTAGTTAAAAATTCAGTCTTGTAATAATGAATGGGTCTCGGCTTATAGCCGGGTGTTTTCAATTTATTTTTGGTTCTCGTTATGCTGAGTCTACACGTTCAAAGTTTGGGGTCTCGGCTTATAGTCAAATAAATACGGTAGTTAATCCTAGCACACTTCCCACCTAAACACATTCTTTTGGAGAAAAATTATGAAAACAGCCACATAAGAATATCATGATGTAATAATGCTAATATGATTTGTGCTAAATTAAACTCAAGACTTGGCTGACCAGCTGTCTCCTGTAAGAGATATGCAGGGGGCATCCTAATCACATCGCTGGGACTGATTGGTTCTTTACAGCCTTTCTCTAACTTGAGGTCAGGCCATTATGTTTGCATATTGTTGCCGGGCAAAGGCTTGTGCTTGTAAAGTGTTTTCTGCTCCGTGCTCTTCATGCTCCCCCCCCCCCACCCATGTGGTACGTATAATTATCGTGGGTATGTTAGGTTCTGCTGGTTAGCTGTTTGATGGTGCCTGGATGAATCTCTCTGAATCCCAGAATCCAAAATACAGTTGAACCTCCGTTAAGTGGCCACCCTTGGGGTAACAGCAACTGGCCGCTTAATGGAGCTTGGCCTCTTGATAGTGGCTTGTTATAAATTAGCATAACATGAGCAAAATGTTTAGCAGAAACAACTTTTTATTTTAAAACAAACTTGTGACGGGAGCTGCATTACTGGCCCACAATCAGTCTTCTATGATGGGCTGTATTTTCCTTCATCATTTTCTTGAAGTAAAGTCAAACTAAGTGTGTTAAGCATGTGATCACTGCTTAATAGAGGTGACAACAATGGCCGTAGCTGATTAATGGAGGTTCAAGTGTAAGAGGGAAATTCTTCTATTTGTGTACATTAAGCCTCAAATCAAGAAAGCTTATCAAGTGTAATTTAAGATTATGTTTGTTTTGTGGACCTTAAATTGCAGAACAAGTTTTGTGACAAAAAAAATGAGCTGAAAAAAAGAGATACAGCAGTCCAGTGCTCCACACCAGTAGACCAGTAGGCTGAAGATTAAGTTGTGCCAGGACCAATAACACTGGTCCCTAATATCTTTTTATCAAGTGTATCATTAACTCCATATAATGATCTTTCAGGTTAATCCTGAAAAGGGAACTGTAGGCTTCGGCTCTGGGCTTCATGGATGGGCCTTTACCTTGAAGCAGTTTGCAGAAATGTATGCTGAGAAGTTTAAGATCGAGCCAGCAAAGCTGATGAGACGGTTCTGGGGAGATCAGTTCTACAACCCAAAAACCAAGAAGTGGACAAAAACTCAAGTAGAAGGGTCTGTACGTGGATTTTGCCAGTTTGTGTTAGACCCCATTTTTAAGGTAACTGTTATATTTTGCCATTATTTAAATAAATGTTGTCATTTTTAAGTTATCAGGGAGTTAAAATGCTTGTTGTCACATAGCTTTACATGTCTCTTTATTTTTAATTTGTGAGAACTGTTGACAATGCCTTGTGCACTTTACTGGAAAGAAACTAGGCATGAAGTATGAAAGTCTCGCTGCTACATAAGCAAGACTAATAAGCGATCTTACAAGCATGATCATTTTTTGACTATACAGCAGTCCTAATACCTTAAATATGTGCATATTTGTGACATTGTGACACTCAAATCATGCCGCATCAGGACACAGGTGCCTTTGTTTCAACTTGTCACCCAACATCCTTTGGAGGGTTACATATGATCATGCGGGTGTAGCCCTGAATAGGACTGTTGTTGACAGTGACTGACATTGCAATAACCTGTATGTGCAGCAGTCATCTTCAGATGCAAAGTGACCCATCAACCAATGTGATACAACCACTACACTCACTCAGACAATCATATTACACCTACATATGAAACGACTTCTGCATTGAACCTTTTACTGTTTTAGTGACTTTCTGGTAATGCTCTTGACATGAGTATGGCTTATAAGAATTACACTGCAATAAGTCAGAGGGTTGATTCTCATCCTAGTGGTGAAAGCAAACCTGCCCCCCCCCCCCCCCCAAAAAAAAAATATATATACATATCATTTTTCAAGACCCTAAGAAATGCATCAACAAGTACCAAGCAAGAGTTCAGCCAAGGTAACATAATTTAATTTCTCTACACAATTACCCTTGACCTGTCTTGGAGTGTAAGATTTAACATATGCTTGTAGTTCTTTTGAAGTAAATAGTTTGCGATGTTTTTATGCATTGTAGACCTTTTGTTACTGTTGGCAGTAACAAAGCAGAGGAGTACTGTGCCAAGCAAAAAAAGTGAAATATTTTTTTAAGCATTTTTGCATTTTGCTCATCAATTCATTATTGATAGAGCGTGATGCAGGGTGCAGAGAAAGTCAGTTTTACAGTTTGCCCTTTGGGCAACCTTTAGCTAGCATATACATGTGTAGTATATGCATCTCGTTAAGGGAGTGATTTCAGCTACTTGGCAGGTAACTTTTTGTTCTAGGTTCATTTCACACAAAGATGACTGTTGCAACCCAGTCTTTACGGAATGTTCCCTGGATTATTTGATGATTTTTTGATGTGTGACATGTTTTCAATACTTTAATTAGATGTTTGATGCAATCATGAATTTCAAGAAAGAGGAAACTAAAAAACTTCATGAAAAGTTGAATGTCAAACTTGCGGGAGAGGAAAAAGATCAAGAAGGAAAACCACTTCTTAAGACGACTATGCGCAAATGGCTGCCAGCAGGTGATGCCCTGCTACAGATGATAGCTATCCATCTTCCCTCTCCTGTGACTGCTCAGAAGTATCGTATGGAGATGCTTTATGAGGGACCTCATGATGACCTTGTTGCTACAGCAATCAAAAACTGCGACCCAAATGTTAGTGACATTTTTTATAACTTTGACTCTTTTAATTAGTTGATATGCCAGGGTCCGAAATTAACTTTTTGATACGGGCGCCAACTGGTGAGCAAGTATAAATTTTTGGTCGCCAGAGAGCAAATTGTGGTCATCAAAAATTCAAATTTTTCTAACAAGTTTAAACAAGAATAAAAAATGCATGGTATGGACGTTTTTATGCTCAAAAATTGCACTACTTCCGCTCTCAATACCAGAAAACACCCTGAATGTCACAGGTTCAGAGCTCTAGATCTGGGCTCTCTTCAATTTTTTTAAAAGGTACGGCCTTGGAGTGTGTAGAATAAGGCCCCAGGGGACTGCCGAACTAATGGAGAGATTAAGATTCACATTTACGCCAAACAGAAATGTGATTTTGTACCACATGACCAAGTTTTCCCCTTAATTATTGTCATTTACTGTTTATTACGTCTACACAAAAATAAGTAGTTTCACGCCAGTGTCATCATCCATAAGAATTGTTCTGGACAGCTTTTATCTCCTTATTTTCTATGCTAAGAAATTCTCAACTTGAATCTGACGTTTGCTGTTTGCCGTAAATGTGAATCTTAATCTCTCTACTATCAAATTCTCTCTTTGATTCATGAACCTTTTAATGAGGCAAACTGAAAGGAGAACAAGCATTATACCAATGCTTATTCCAATAGTGCCAACAGGCAACACTCAAGAAAAGAACTCTTACACATTTTTCTTTTGCGATAGGGTAAACTCTGTGTGTATGTCTCCAAGATGGTCCCCACTGCAGATAAAGGTCGTTTCTATGCCTTTGGTCGTGTTTTCTCAGGAACAGTTGCTACAGGGATGAAAGTACGAATTATGGGCCCAAATTATATTCCAGGCAAGAAAGAAGATTTATATCAAAAAAGCATCCAGAGGTAAGTTAATCAGGTGACATTAAAAAGGACTGCAATTTACACAGCAATTTAGTCCTTTTTTTATTGTTACCAATTTATCACTGTGGAACTGCAATTATTGAATGAAGATATGATCAACGTAGCGATATAAGCCATTGCAAATTAACCCGCCAAAAAAATGCCCTGTAATTTCGTTATATTTCAGAGCAAGGTTGTATTTAAGGCACTATTTTCATTCACAAGGAAGCATCACATACTTAAAAAAGTTTCCCCAATAAAATTTATTCGAAAGAACTTATCAACTTGTCAATTAAAGATAGAGTGGTCGGAATTGGTTCTTTCCCTTTTACCTGCCGGCTCCTCCACGCCATTCTGATTAACTGAAAAGGGCATGCATCAGATCAGAAGAAACAACTTCCGGTTTCCCAAAAGACTCTTAAGAAATTCCGGTATTTGTTTCACATTCTGTAATTTTTTTTATCAAAATCTTTTGTTATGATCTCAGAAGTAAAACTAGGCATTTCTTTTAAAGAAGTCAATTCCATCAAACAAATTATCACTATTTCAAAGGCTTCAATTCTGGTTTAGAAGTAATATATCAAGCATGAGACGCAGTGTTTCATTACCAGATAAAACACCAAGAAAACGATACGATGCGTAGCAGAGTATTTTTGATGAACTTCGAGTTGTTTCATCTGGTGATGAAACACTGTCAAATGCTTGATATTACTTCTCAAACAAAATAATTTTGGAAGGAGAAATTAAGGATGCAAAACTGATCAGTTTTTCATCTGATTTCCAAACACTCATTAAGGGTTAATTTCCTTTGTATTTTCTTATTGAATTATTAATGAGTTTGAGAAATTTAGTTTCAAAGGCAACAAACAAAATCTAAGCATAGTTTTATGCGAACTGAAATAAGAATAACATATCCACTAATAACCGGTGATTAAAATGGTTTAAACATCCCAAGATTTCAGACATTTTTGTTTCTGGTCATGTGATCATGGGCCTGGTTCAATGACATCGTAATTATTTACATCTGTACAGTACTGTTCAAAAGTAAGTTGATTCTCGATTCTTGATTCCTGAGAGACTCATCAAACCAGAACTGCCTTATTTAGTGTAGAGTAATTTTCTCTCTACTCTCAATACTCGATCACTGCAAGAATCTACAACCTTTGCTTAAGTTTTGAGTAATCTTCCTAACTTCTCTCATGTCAGAAAAAATCTTTCTACTTTATAAAATAACAAACTCTAGTTAGCATTTGATTCTTGCAAAATGAACTTTGCAAAATGATACAGTAGCAGTTGAGAACTCTTCAGGAAATTTGCATTTGCTTGCACAACTTGGGTGACACTTTGCATCCAAATGTTAAAAATATTCAAACGGTATTTTTTATCATTTGAATAACAGAAGTTGTCAGTTCCATAGTTAAACTAGAAAGGCAATCCATGACTTTGTATCTGTAAAATCCAAAATAAAAGGAAGCTTGTGTAAATAAATGTTTAATACGCGACAATGTGTGTTAACAAAGTCTTAAGGCTCTTCTCGTCGCTTTTGTTCTTCGGCTTCTCTTTCAAATAGTTATTCTACTGGCCAATTTTTTTCGATTGCCTGTTTGTGAATTTCCATTGGCGTTATTGCAGGTGAATGTCTGTTCATCAGTGTCTACGGTCAGGTTTTTTTTTTCACTGGAAGCTTTACTTGCAATTGGACCTCTTGACCTGAATTGCTGTTTTTGTGAAACGTTATGGCTTCTCAGTGTGATATTTCGCCCTTTCCATTTTATGAGACGTGACTGCGTGCATAAAAGTTTTGATTTGAATATACGTGTAAAGCTTCAGAAAACTTCAGAAACCTCCAAGAGCTTTGAAAACACTTTATAGTCTTGTGCAATACAATCTGCTTTCCGGTAGTTGCAGTCCAAGCTAGGCAACAAAAAAGTTCATGTGTATCGTGTTCCATCGCAGAAAAGACAAGCCCAACTAAAACTTTAAAAGAACGTGCTATATTGTGCATGTTACAGCCGATCATTACGATGTCAAGCAGCCAGGTTTGACAATGCTGTTATTTGTTTCTTGTACACAAGTATACACAGGTTGTTTGCGCGAATGAACCATGCTGTGTTTTGTCTATGTAAAATGATCGAGAAATCAGTCATGGGTGAATTTTTCGTTTTCCATTTTGTTGAGACTTGATCTTGGACACATTTCTCGATAGCTTGTTCTCAATTCTCAATTCACAATTCGCGCAGGAATAGAGAATCGAGACTCGCGATGGACTGTCAACTTACTCTTGAACTGCACTGTATAATGTATCCTTCACAAGTACTGTGCTATAAAATTACTAATGCATGCCAAAATGAGTCTTAGTTATACGGCCAAAATTGTCCCTAGCAACAGCCCCAAAACATAGGTCAGAGGGCGGTTGATTTACTGACTTTATTGTACATTGACTGCAGCTGACAGTTCTTGTCTTTTACAACTTGCCAGGACAGTTTTGATGATGGGGCGCTATGTTGAAGCTATCGAGGATGTACCCTGTGGCAACATAGTGGGTCTAGTGGGGATAGATCAGTACTTAGCCAAGACTGGTACAATTTCTGACTATGAACAGGCTCATAACTTGAAGGTCAGTTTCTTTAGCTCAATAATATATTATTGTAAAGGACCTTACAAATCTGTCTGTGGTGGTCATACATACATACATTATTACATAACTTTGTTTACACTCGAATTTTTTGAGTAGCTTGCGAGGTAATATCTTTGAGCACAATACAGAAAAGTACATTAAAATAATACATTACAAGAAAAAACTCTGTCTGTAAGAATGAATGGAATGGAATGTACTGCACAGAATGCAATTTGATGGCGCATGTTTAGCCCCTCTATCACTTGTAATCTGATCGCGTGTTTTGACTATCTGTAACTTGAAACTTGCGCAAAGCACAGCGATGGAGCAAAAGTATTTTGACCTTTGATTGTTGTCGCCCGCACTCAGTAACCTTTGCTTATTAACAGTTGATATTCATTATTTATCATGTAAACACCAATAAAATACCAGGTGAGGTTTCACACAAAAATGTCTTCACACATGGTGAAAGTAACATGTTATCGTGACACATGAAAAGATCATGGTTGCTATGCTGGGCTTCATCATAAATCACGCCTTTCACATCATAGAAATGTTAAAGTGACGTAGTTTGGTATTTACATTGGTGTTAATATTGACATAAAACATTACATGGTCGCTTAGGGATGTGAACTTTGGTATCTCTACACAGCCATGTAATGTCCTCTTATTATTGTTGTGATGCAAAAATCATTTGCTTATCATTGCAGCCCATTATTACTTGTTATTAAATCCTCAAACACATTTGGGAGGGGGACTTAATAGAAGGGGGTGCTTATCTGATAATTAGAGAAGATGATGGTATTGGCTTCGTAAAGAGCTAGAATGCAAAGTAGGAAAACTCAGCCACATGAAGTTGGAGGTCTTGCAGTAAAGGTAAAAAACAAATCAAACTTCCAGTATGTGAATAAACCATATCAGATCAGTCCACTAGAAATGTTACAGTGGAGTGGTGAGTAGACTCCATCGCATCTAAATTGTCTTGTCACACAATGCTCCTCCCCAACAAAGGGGAGGCGTGTTGAGTGAGGACAAAAATGGCTGCGAGGGAGACTGTCCCGGGCTGGGGGCTGGGGCTTTCCTGAAAGAGGGGAAGTTATGAATAGAGGGTTAACTGTATTTTTTTAATGTTACTTTTTTTATTGGAAGGTGATGAAATTTTCAGTCTCCCCTGTGGTTCGTGTAGCAGTAGAGGCAAAGAACCCATCTGATTTGCCCAAGCTGGTGGAAGGTCTAAAGCGACTGTCAAAATCAGATCCCATGGTGCAGTGTATCATTGAAGAAAGTGGAGAACACATCGTGGCTGGAGCAGGAGAGCTGCACTTGGAAATCTGTCTGAAAGATTTGGAAGAAGACCATGCTTGCATTCCTATCAAGGTGACTGCATACTAGCAACGTAATAAGTAAAGGGCTGTCTGAAATGGATTATCAGAATCTTTATTTCCTGTTCTGTTAATGGGGAATAGTAAACATTGCAAGATTTTAGGATCCTAGGATTACATGTAGAAGGAAGGAAGGAAAGTTAGTTGGGTAGTGGAACAAGATTTTCATGGGAATTTTCCAGGTGGAAGTGACACTTTTTAGTATTTTTTTCCAGCCTCCTTGAATAAATGAATCATGCGCAATTTGGTATGGTTTGAAAAAACCGATGATGGCATCATAAGCGGTAGAAGGGATGTGGTTCTGCATGTGCAGTTACAAGCGGGTCAGCAGCTAATGGGTCAATCAAAAAAGCTTTAAGTCGTGTTTGCTGAGTTTTTCACCAGATTTGGTTGTTTTGTACCCAAAAGTGGATTTTCTCCAAAAACTTGGTACTTTGCTCAACCCATTCACTCCTGGAAATTTTGCTTAAAAACAAGTTTTTTCACGACTCACGATTTTGTGACCTATCGCATTCGTTAGTGAGTTGGCAACTGGTTTCTCACGCTTTCTCGAAAAGTCAAACTATAAAAAGATTTCAGAGTTATAGGTTCGTTTCAAAGTTAAATATCAACAAATAGCTAGCTCGATCCAAAGAAAACTCTGATTACATTATTTTAGCTCACCCCAACTTGCTGCTGCCACCAAATGTGCAGACTTGCTGTTTCTCTTATTTCAAGATGGCCACCAACAAAACATAGAAGTTACAAACCTAAATCATAAAAATTAATCGTGATAATTTTTGCTGCAGCTTTAAAGTGATATGTGACTTCCAATACCCATAATCCCCACTGGAAGTCCCTCCACTAGGAAATGTGGGACATCGCATGGCGTTTTTCCCATTTCTCACTAGTTTTCCCATCTCTAGATTCAGAGTCTTACGGGACTTAAATGAGGTAGCTGATCTCTTTTGCCACTATTTTAGTGACTAATAGTGAAATTTCAAAGGTAAATTCCCAGTAATAGTTCACTTGAACAGTGGAAGTGAATTAACTTTTAGAACTTGTTTATTAGTCTCAGTGAACCTACCCCCACCCCCATTACTCTTTGCTCAGTTGAAAATTCTTGTATGCTATAAACAGTGTTAATATCACTTTTTTGCAGAAATCAGACCCAGTCGTGTCTTATCGTGAAACAGTGTCAGAGGACTCCACCCAGATATGCTTGTCAAAATCACCAAACAAGCATAACCGTCTTTTTATGAGAGCTGCCCCATTTCCCGACGGCTTGGCTGAAGACATTGACAAAGGAGAAGTAAGCTCTAGACAAGACCCCAAAATTCGTGCCAGGTACTTAGCTGACAAGTACGAGTGGGAAGCTGGAGAAGCTCGGAAGATTTGGTGCTTTGGTCCTGAGGGAACTGGTCCGAATATGGTGATTGATGTAAGCAAGGGAGTGCAGTACTTGAATGAAATTAAGGATAGTGTTGTAGCCGGATTCCAGTGGGCAACCAAGGAAGGCCCTCTTTGTGAGGAAAATGTCCGTGGTGTGAGGTTCAATATTCATGATGTAACACTTCACACTGATGCAATTCACAGGGGTGGTGGTCAGATTATTCCAACTGCCCGTCGCTGTTTCCTGGCCTGTATGTTGACTGCCTCGCCACGTATATTGGAGCCAGTATATTTGGTTGAAATTCAGGTGAGAAAAACAGCTTAAACACCGTGGAATGCTCAAGCTTATCTCGGGGAGGTGCTCTAGGAATGTTGGGGTAGGGATGTGCTTCTGGGACCCCGGAACTCTTATCCTGTACCAGACCTACTTCCCGTGAATATTGCTTCCCCGTACTGGACAAAATTGTTTTTTGTTTTTTTTCCCCAGAAATTACTAAGATTGGTGCTTTCTTTGATATAAAACTGGGTTGCAAGTAAATTTTGGTTTGCTTATTTCAGTTTTCAAGTGTCAATTCCCAGACAAAACTGCTTGAAAACCATACCCTTCTCAGTGGCACATACCCATCTATACCACCCATATATGGAACTACCCCCCCTTCTCTCAAATCATCATAGCCAATAGCCCACGCTCGATATATCAAAATTCTAACATGACTCCGAGGCTTCAGGGTCAAAATTGCAAATTTTTCGCGACTCCATTGTCTCGCAATTCCCAGAAGAGACTTGAACATAGAGAAAACCAAACCAAGTAATAGAAAAATGACCAGAAAACCTCGGAGTTATGTTACAATGAACAACAAAATGATCAGATAAGGCAGGAACACAAACTGAAATATTAACGGCCAAGTGCTCATCTCTCGTGATTAAAAGGTCTACGGTGTGACCAGCAGTAAGTGTTGGCTTATCCACATGTTGCTTTAAATTTAGTGAGTCAAGAAGATTTCAAAAAACAGGTGAGGCTTTGTCACCAGTGGTAAGTAACAAGAAGTAGTGAAGAATTGGTGATATAGCTGATTCAATAAAGGTTGCTTTGGGCAATAAGAATTGTGCATTGGGAAGCTATTGTTTGGTGGTCACTCAAGAAAATCATTGCATTGTTCCATATGCCCAAAAACTCAATGACCAATAATTACCCAAGCAACCAGAAGACAGCCAAAATCATCGAGAAACATTGAACAATAAATTACAAGGAGGATAATAAATAACCAGGACACGAATATCTCGAGAGAAATCAGATGTGATTAGCAAGTCAATAAAGTTAAAAGGAACAAAATGACGATTCAATCCAGTTGATTCCTTCACACAAAATCCATTTTCGACAGGAATACCTACGCCACCACCTTTACTGAGTTGTCTGGGTACATGGTGGAAGGAATGTCCATCTGGAATTAAGTCCCCAATTACTTCGTCATCACGATCATCAGGATGAAGCCAAGTCTCAGAGAGAGCAAAAATATCAACATTATTTTCAACGATGAAATCCTTAATCAGAAGCCTTTTGTTTCTCACTGATTGCGCATTGAAAATTCTTGAAAAAAAATGCCATCATACAGGGCTCTAAGTCAACTTTTGAGTGCACTTGCGAAGTTCTGCTAGCAAGATTTTTTTCCACTAGCAAACTGGTGAGACCACTAGCAATTCTTTCCCTTTGTTTGGGTGACGTGGATGATTCTAACTCGCAAACGTTTGCTAGTGGACATTTTTTTCACTTGCAGATTATCAAAATCACTCGCATTTTGCGAGTTTGCGATCGTTAATCTGGAGCCCTGGCATAATCTACAAAAGCTTATCGTGCTACACCTGACTTTAAAGGCAGAGCCCCCCTTCCCTCCTCCTCACACTAGAAGATCAGAGGAGGCTGTTCTGGCAGGGTGGGGCCCATGCAGCTTGAATACTAGGAGGGCTAGCAAAATGAAGATGTAGAACAAACGTAGTACTTTCTGCTCAATTATTTTATGTTTGAGTGTTAGTTTTGTTGATAACTGAACCCAGGCCTATCGCTACTAAGTGAGGTACCCAATAGGCTATTTGTGAGTTCCCCTGGGCCTCTGTATCAAAAGGGGGTTAAGAGCTCAGCCTTTAATGTGGAAATGTTTTTTTTATTCTCATGTAAATACAACTCGTTTCCCAAGAAAGGTTTTGCAGTTGGGCTCATTTTGAAAGTGAGGGTTTGGAACTTGGAAGTGGCCAACAGACCTTTTTACCAATACGGCGGCCATATTGAATTAATTCGATGTAAGGAGTATTATAGGATGCCCCGGAGGCATGAGCACATTTCGCTTGTATTTTTGAGCGCTTTTCGGGACATTTTTTCTTAAAGTTTTCTTAGAATAAGATTGTAATGAGAGAGAAGATCCTTGTGCTGTGTTTGGATGTAATAATGATCGCCTTTTTCTAGTTTAGTATTAGAAATATGTTCTTTCACTGTATATTTCTCGGGAAAAAGGTCATCATTATTACATCTAAACACAGCACAGGGATCTGTTTTCCCATTACAATCTTATTCTAAGAAAAATTCGAGAAGAAATGTCCTGAAAAGCGCTCAAATACAAACAAAATGTGCTCATGCCCCCTGGGCATCCTACAATACTCCTTAAATCGAATTAATTCAATATGGCTGCTGTATCGGTAAAAAGGTCTATTGATGGGAAAAGCTGTCTGGCACAATATGAACAACAACGATAATAGAACTGGATGAAGTCATTCACGCACACCAAATGCAGTATCAGAGCCTCCTAATCCTCATTTGTGAACAATACTTCCATCTATGGGGGGTTACTGTCCTTGTTCCTACTCATTTACTTCCACCGTGGTGCGAATACCTGTTAACCCTGAATCAAAGAGTAGCAGAAATATATCCAATACATATCATGACAATCCACTTTCAAGGTTGGCACGCCGCAGCTTCACTCTGTCACAGAATTGGCACCAAAATAACCTCTACATGTGATTGCAATTGTGGATTCCAATTTGATTTGCTCGAAATCTTGTCACTAAAAAATTACAGCAAATCGCTCGCCCACTGATTTAACCAGTCTGCAATTGTTGTACGCTTCCTTTTTAGTGCCCAGAGGCCGCAATTGGAGGCATTTATGGAGTGCTTAATAGGAGACGAGGCCATGTATTTGAAGAAGGTCAAGTTCCAGGAACTCCCATGTTTCACGTCAAGGCCTATCTACCTGTTAATGAGTCATTTGGTAAGAATTATTTAACCCTTGGATATATAATTTATCTCTAACTTTATGTTAATCTGTACATGTTGTTCACTGTACAACGTTGTGTACTCTACACAGTGTCAAGAACAAACACAAAATTATTGCATGGAGGTATTGACCCAATACCTACGTGGAATGATTATCTAAATACAGTATTCGATGATGTAGTTACCTTGTGCGGGAGTTGCAGAAACAAGCGGCCCTCCCACGGTCCCCATGGGAAAAGCTCCAATTTGTTGCAGCTCTCTCCCTGCATGTGAAGTCTTTCCTTGCAAGAAAGGAATGCTATTTGTAGATCACCCCGTTAAATAGAAATAATATTCACTTGCCATAGATTGTTAGAAGGGCTTTAAATGCAATATCCGACAGAAAAAAAAACTGAAACTTAGTTTTGAGGAACAGAATATTACTGTTATATAAAAGTGTTTTAAACATCAAAGGTTGAGCGGCTGTCATGATTAATAAGAGTACAACGAAAATAATGTTTTGAATTTCCGGTAAGATTAGAAGAGTCACTTTATACTCTCATACGATATTTTTTTTTTTTTGGGGGCAGAGGGGGTGCATTATGGAAATGTCCCAGTTGAAAATAATGCCAATCGTTTCTTGTTTCATAAGGCTAACTGGCCCATTTTTATTCATGGCCTTAGAAGTCACTGTAAATTTCCAGCTAAAAATGCGCAGTCAGCAGCTCAATCAGCCCCACTATGTGGGTCTTGTTCTGTAATTTCTGGGCTCCCTCATAAAACGGTGCATCATTTTCAAAATTTCTTTTGCAGTTCTCCCTCCCCACACCCTGTACAAAGTTGAAACTCAGAAAAAATTCTGGATACATGCATCCAACTTTGTTTGGGTGGTGAGGGGAGGGGTTGGGCCTGTATGAATTGGAAAATGCCCCAGAAATGCAAAAGTATCCCAAGACTTATGTCCGTGATTGTCTGAAAAAGAGGTGGGATGGAAAAAGTCAATTTTCAGTGTTTTTCAAGCCTGTAAAGTGCATTTTTCGTTGCAACAAGTCGCACAAATTCAGTCTGTTTGATTTTTTACGACTTATTGCAGCAACAAAATTCTGTTTCAGAGTCAAAGATTTTCAGAATAATTCTCCAGTACACACGAAGCGATTTGTCGCTGCAACGTGTCGCCGTGACATGTTGCTGCAACTGGTGGCCTGACCTGTACACATGGAGTGATCTGTCACCATGATGTGTTGCTGCCACTTGTCACCTAGTGTGTTCTGACCTCTATCAGGGCTTGAAATAACTATTGGGCAGGCGCCGGACACATTGTCCGGTCAAACGTGATTTTGCTCGGACATAGGCATTTTTGGCCGGACAAATTTAATCCATCTTAACTAGTTGCAATAGAGGCTCCATTTTGCAAGTTACATGATCTGTATCATTTTCAGCAACAGCAACTCTAGTTACTCAAAACAAATCGAGTGTGCAAAAAATTAGAAGTTGTAGTTTTATTACTCTTTGTTCTGTTACATTGTAAGTCAGACACGTGGATTGCAAGACACAACCTCATCGTTAACGTTTGGTTGAAACCTGACCAAATCACTAACAAAACGTAACCTTCAACTTTACAGTACAACATTTACATTTTAGCAAATGCTGCTTTGTTTCTACAAATAATTTCAAACAGGCAAATAAACTTGTGAAATCGTTTGGTTCAATAAATCAATCTCTCAATTAACACGATAATAAACGCTATTAAACGGAATGTAAATTAAAATACAAGTATGTAATATAATCCTGACTTACAAGTTTACTCTACCGTTCGGTTGAATGCAAATCTATACATTTTGTAAATTCTCCGTTACATCTCTTACAAGTTGCGCAATGAAAATAATCGTATCCTTCGGCGCGACCTGCTGGCCGAAGTAACATCGCCATTCGCACAAAAAATCATGGTAGTGGGCATTCATTGGCATTTGAATGCGTTAAAACTTATACATAATGTATTTCAAAGAGAACAGGGTGATGAATGTTGAGTTAACCTTGTGAATTAGTCGTTTAGTGATAAACACGCAACAAATTTACGGACAGGGCGAAATAAAGACAAACTCTATTTTTATGTTTACTTCATTAACACTCAAAGCCTTTTATTTTAATGTTACATTTGTGAAGTTTTATTGGAGCAAGAGGGTGGCCTAATTCATTATACTGTCACTCTGGGTCTTTCTTTTTTTCGCTCTTGTTGGCACCAGATGCTATGCGGGTTATTTTCGGCTCAGCGGGGCGTGCAATCTTGAGCACTTTACAACACGCACAGCAGTAGCCAATTTGCGGTCGCAACTGACAACAGGAAATGTCATCAATTTCACAAACAAAAGTCCCTCTAGTTAATATCTTTTTTGGGAACATGATAAGATTGAATAAATTTCCATCATGATTGTCTCAAAATTGAATTTTCTTTGAAAGCCCAAATGACCGGACAACATGTCCGGTCATCCACGGATTTACTCGGACAATGCTCGATTCTGACCGGACATTGTCCGTTGACCGGCCGTTATTTCAAGCCCTGCTCTATTGTTGCATGTGGTATAAGGTGTAGGAAGAATGGAGAAAACAGACTTTTTTTTCAAAGACCAGAATTCAGACAATCGTAGACACAAGTCCTTGGGACAGAAATGCAGTATTCACATTTTTCTGTAATTTGTGGGTTCCCTCATAAAATAGTGCATCTTTTTCCAAATTTTCTTGCAGATCTCCCTGCTGCCACCCCATACAAAGTTGAAACTCGGAAAAAAAAAAATCTGGATACACGCGTCCTACGTTGTTTGTAGGGTGATGGGAGGGGTTGGGCCCGTCTGAATTGGAAAACGCCCCAGAAATGCAAAAGTATCCCAGAACTTTAGTCCATGATTGTAGCTAAACCAGTAGGACAAATAATAAGACAAGACAAGAATTTTCGCATCACAGCATGTCATCAATAACGTGATATTTGAAAAGGATGTCACAAACGCAATTACTTATCGAAATTTTCCTTGCGTATATCATTTCAACTTGAAACAATATTTTCTCTCTATTTTCTAAACGACGTGTTCACCATAGTCTTACCCGGGGGTAGCCTGCAAACTTCAGACGTATTTCCGGTCGTCGCTTCTCTCCCTCCGAAAAGTAAGAGAAAGAAAAGCGACGACCAGAAATACGTATGCAGTTAGCAGGCTAACGAAGGTGGTAGTCCCATAATTTTCGGAAAGAGGTGTGCTGCCCGCAGTCTTAAACCCTGACCCCATTTCAGGAAGAGGCAAACGAAAATTGACACCCCATTCAAGGCCCAGACCCGAAAAATGACACCCTATTCAAGGGAAAAACAAAACCTAAAAATTTAATAGTAACATACAGACCTTCGTTATCACTTTCCTAATGCTGTAAGAAATACAGGTTTAGTACAGAGTCTTGAATTCTTAAAAAGTCTCGAAATTTGCCTAGCAATTTTCCACTTTCACATTCCCATAATACACTTTATTCCCCCCACCCCATGAAAGAAAATGCACAAGAATCGTTTCCAATTTCTCCTGAGTATTACAGTCGTCCAAAAAGATAGTGAAAACAATGATTAATTTTGGGGGTTTGAGAGATTGTGACATGGCAAGCAAAGGTGTGTTGGTGTAAACGATTAAATGTAAGTTTGTTCTTTGTTGTAGGATTTACTGCTGATCTCCGATCGAACACTGGTGGCCAGGCCTTCCCACAGTGTGTGTTTGATCACTGGCAAATCCTGCCTGGTGATCCAGCTGATCCCTCCACAAAACCTGGAATTGTTGTGACTGAAACACGAAAGAGGAAAGGTCTCAATGAGGGCATCCCAGCCCTGGACAAGTTCTTGGACAAACTGTGACATGTATGCTTCAAAAATAAACGACAGACTCTTGGAGAACCGTGGGTCTGCTATAGTCAAATGAATTCCATTATGTAGACCCTTAGACTGTCATGTCCTTTTAACCTCGCTAAGCGAGCGTGAGCAGCTTTTTGATGGCAAGTAAACAACATAACCAACGTTCTTAGAGGCTGATAAACAATTCAGGTGAAGAATTCAATAAAATGCTATTTAGCTTTCCTGTTTTTGTCCTTTTGTGTCCTTTGAGTCGGGCTAGTGACCCTTGATGCTTTACCGTAACGCTAAGACCCTGTGAGTGGTGTGAACTGGCATGCACCAACTCACAAAGCAAAAAATGTAGCATCTGCTCACAAGGGTATGAGGCTAATGGCGTTTTTCCGAATAATTTAGTAGACTCTGGTCGTTTTTGTCATACCATTAGAATGGCACTGATGGATGTGTTTGGAAAATTATATAAGCATACCAAGTAAAGAAACGAGTTTACCACTGTCAGCACTGGGAGTTAACCAGGGGTCAATTTAATAAAACTTTTACAAGTGTAGCCGTTGTGTTTGAGTCTGAAAACAGTAGCTACAGTTGTAACTTGCACTTGTAAAAGTTTTATTAAATTGACCCCAGGCATGTATGAGGAAGTTAATGACCCCTTATGAGTTTCTGTTTATTGTTAATTGTTGAACCATAGTTAATAGATTAAAATGGTTATGAAACCCGATACTCCTTTGTTATATGTTTTTGTGGACCTGACGGTGCACAACGTTCAATAGCATTCCCACTTATTGAACAATAAACACGTCCCAGTAGTAATTTAATCCATCACAATTTGCCAATAGAAAACAAAGGATTGTGCACCTTCAGGGAGCTTTTAACATAAACTATAGTGCCATTGTTTTTATGTTTGATGTTTGTTGTCTTTAATAGCTAATCTCCTCTAATAACTATGGTTGCTATAACTGGGAGTTAAGTCTTGTATGAACTGAACTAATTACCCCCAGTTTGTGTTACTTTAATTACAGTAAATGAGTAGTTAAATATTCGCATCTTTGTCCACGCGAAGAAAGAAATGAAGATAAAGGAGAACTAAAAAATCGCTCAATGTTTTAAGAGTAATATGTTGTTCTTATTTAAACTAAGATAGGAACGGAATTTGAACCCATGGTTTCTTCGTTAGCAAGACAGTGCAGTTTGTCTGATATTCTTGTCCCAAAGCATTGGAATGTGAGACGGTTTCCCTCAGCGTCTTGCTATAGCCACAAATTTTGTCTATATACATTTGTTAGCCTCTTCCCTGAGGAAATTTGAATTAATGATGATTCTATCCACCCCCCCCCACCCCTCAGATGCCCACTTCTGCCAACGCACACATCCTTCACCTTTTTGCTTTAATATTGGTTGCAACATTCCAGACTCGAAATTAATCGATTTGACCTCATGCATTGGATTCTCCGTGCACTTTGGTAAGGTTTCCAATATCCATCCTCTTCATAAAACACAGAGCAATCAGTAGTCACAGCAAACACCTCTGCACCTCGGACCTGAGGTGTGTTGTCTAATGAGGAGCGAACAGCTATTACACCACCGAATGCACAGCGATCTATGTTGAGGTAGTAGCGAACACCTTGAAAAAAGAACCAACACAAGATTAATTTTATGGAGTTATAAATAATGTTCCTTTGGCGTGTGCCCTGGTTCAAAATGTTTCTCTATTTTTGATAGGCTTAGATCCCCTGGCTAATTATAACCAGCTATGATGTCCAAATTTGGACGATGTTTGCAATATACTGTAAAATGATGTCAGTAGTGCAGTATATCCACCGAAAAAGGGATGAACCAAGAAACCATGGGGAAAGGTTACATTAGGCCAGCTGTTTTGTTAGAGCTAGAGAAAATGGCAGAAAATTGCACACATTTTGCAAAGAAGAAATTACAATTACCTAAAAACATGGCAAAAATACAACTCAACGGATGACATCTGCTATCTAAAGAATAACACTTTTACTTCAACTTTGACCTGTGTACATGCCTTTAAATGTCATCCACTTTTTGCTACCCCTATTTACATCTGGGGGAGGGGTGAGGCCTTGGTAATGCCTCCCATTAATAAAACCCCATTTGCAGTATACAAAATTTTGTTTTGATTTTCATTTTTTCACCCAGCAAAATTTCTCAAGCGTCACCAAAATTCAAAGATGCTGTTGAGTAGATTTGGACGCCTACAATTTACAATTTTTTGCCAGGCAACAAATTGCTAACATGACCAACTGAAGTTCCTTTAATTGACTTCTCTAGTAAGTCGAAAAATTTCACATCTCGGGTGCAAACAAGGTTACAAATTTAAAACGAAAAAGTGGTGTAAAAAAAATTTTCCATTTCTTGGCTTCTTTACTAAAAAACAGGACAATTTATTGATTGTTTACGGTAGTACCTGATGCAGAGAGGGGATCAAATGAGAGATTCAGTTTCTTTTTAACATCCTTCCAACTGAACTCAACTCCATTTACTGTTGGTGTCTATAATCATCAAAAAGCATATAAGTAACAACTCCCTTAATAACAGATCTCATTGGCTTTTCAGCCAGGACTAATACTTAAGACAAGACTCAAATATAACATGTCAGCCCAGTGATCTTTTTTTTCATCAAAACTTTTTTTTTAGTTGAGTGAATCTCCTGTAACTTTGAATTTCAAAAAGTTCCAAATGAAAATGGATATATTTTGAAAAAGAAGACCATGATTTTACATGTTCCCTTTTTTTAAAATTTTCATGCACCGTAAGTTTCTTAACAAAAACCCAGGCAGGTGTTGGAATAAATTTGTCCCATTTTTCAGAAATACTCAAGTTTTCTGAGCACATTAATTCAAGTCACCTTGAACATGAGGTGACAAAGTCTTTTTTTTGCAGTCTCAACAAAAACAGGTACTTACAGACAGTAAATTACATAAACACCGTACGATAAATGGTGCTTATAAGTTGACACTAACAAAAACTAGCTTCAAACTTGACACTAACAATAACTAGCTTGCAAGTTGATACTAGGTAATATTATTGTGCATTGCTTGTCAGTAATACATGAATAAAATATGAAACATTTGACAGTAAATTATAATGGCTGTTGAGCTCATTTAACTAGGCAGTAAAGTAAGATTTGTGTGGTTTTGTACCGGGGACCAACGAAAGCGAAGTGAAAATACTCAGGTTTTTTCAAAATAAAGTCTGCAATAGCTCCCAATTTTTGCTGCGGCCATCCCCAGGTTTTGGCTCCAGTAGAGAAGTGACGAAGCCTTAACTGGTAAGAGACCAGTAAGGATATGCCACTGGATAGGATCAAATGCTTTACAACTCCTGTTTGGGGGGAGGGGGTATTTCTGCCATATTTAGGCGGGGATGTGTTAGGCATGCTTCCCAAAATGTGATTTTCTATACCCAATGTTCCAGACTGCACCCTAGTGTTCTGGCAAGAGTGGAAATAATAAAAAAGCACATACCCAAATAATCATAGAAATGTACCTGTCGGTCATGAGTGGTGAAGACAAAAGACAAAGTTTGACCTTCTTTTAGGGAGCCTCTATGACAATACCAGTAACGAAGCATAGATCCCCTGGTGTAGTGTTCATACAAGAAGACTAGCAGAAAAACAAGCAAAACAGCAAGAGGGATTTTCCACACAAGTCCTGTTAAATGGAAGCAATGACAACAAATAAATAATTAGAAATGGTCGAATTTATTATGTAATCGTGTTCTAAAAATTGCATATATAAGCTCATCACTTGAAGCTCTTAAGAGTGATTTTACTTGAACCGTGAAACTAACAAATAATGGAAAATAGTGAGAGGTAAACAAAAGAAGACAATAAAATCAGTGCATAATAGTGCATAGTAATTCTACTACCTATTTCACTGTTCAAGTAAATTCACTCTAAAGAATTTATAATTATGCTCCAAATGGTAAATAATCAAGGTCTCGGTAAGTGTTATCAGCCGCGGCCTTTGATTATTTGATTATTACCTCAAACTTGATTATTCCGGAATTCACATCCAATAAATTAAAAAAAAAAATTGTTTATATCATATTTAAATACACTTATAAAAGGAGTAGAGTGTGTCCATAATCTTGAACATTCTTACTGAAACCATTACCAGTTTTAAAGAAGAGATTTCTCTTTGAGATCAGTTTATCCACGCCTTGTGCTAAACCAGTCACTATTTTTTCCAGGACATCTTGTCGGCTTTGAAGGCCTCTCTGTTGCTCCTCAAGAGTTCCTTTCACTTCTTTGATCAAAGATGCATTTGATTTGGTTGCAGTTTTGTTTCCTACCAGCGATTCAGTTATCTTTGCCTGATCCCCTTTGAGTTCTTTAAGACTGCTTTCTAAAGCTACATGTTTAGCTTCCAGCCTTTCGATTTCAAGCCCAAACAGCTGTGTCAAATTGCAAAGGTTTTCTTTCAGTCCCTTATGATCTTGCATCCAGGCATCCTTGTTTACCTCAACAGATGTCACTAATGTATTCATCTCATCTTTAACAAGTTTAAGTACATCACTGTTAATCTCCTTTCCAAAACACATCTCCTTTCCTACAGAGTCAGACACATTTAATATCACAATATTTTCCAAGGACACTCCAAGTAGCAACTGATTTTAATCTAAAACAGCTTCAGACATTGCACAATGCAACTCTATTACCTTAGGGGGGTACTCCGGATTTTAAGGGACAGGGATGATTGAATGGGGGCAAAAAAGCAAACCCCAAAAAATCCCTAGTGCTTCAAACAAAACCTCCAAACATCCCTGGACCAACATTATAACCCCAAAAAATCTCATGCCGAATTTCTAAGCCATAAAAATTTCCAGAAAGCATTAAAATAATGATGTAACACGAAAAATAGAAACATTAGTAATGGAATGTTTGTGTTTGTTTATGTTCATCACACCATCTGGAGTAAATAGCCTGTTCCAGGTGTTCAGATCATTGAGACAACGCCAAAAAGATGTGAGCAGAAAAAAAAAAAACAAGGGGGTGGGGTAGGGGGTATTTTTTTCTCGCTCTTTTCCTTTGCAACGCACTCCACTATCTGAACGCCTGGAACAGGCTACACATCTGGTGGTCATTCTAACAACACTTGAGACACCCAAGAAAATATTCTGTTACAACAATAACATTATGCGGAATGACAACTTTAAACAAGACCACCTTGGGCAAGAACATTACGAACAACCCTACAACGTTTTTTACAGATTCTTAGATGTGTTAAATATTAAAACAGTCACAAAACAAGTTTGGTTCTATTTTATTTGCGGAACTACGCGGCTGCGATACATGGGAACCATCATGACTCTTCAGATTGTTTTGAATTCCCCCAAAAATCTGTACTTAAATCAAGCTACCCCCTAAAAAAACATGTCAAAATTTTTCTACCCCGTAAAATCCCGAAATCATAAATTTCAAACCCAAAAAAATCCTTCGATCATCCCTTTCCTTCTTCCTTAAATATTAACAGCCAGGCAAATAATATTTTTTTTATTGTTGAAATGTGTGTTTACTGTAACAAGATTTCCTACCAACCTCTTTTCTTCCATTCCTTCAAATCTTCCATAACTTGTTTAGTATCAACAGCCACATGGTCACTTAACTTTGTGATCAGGTCTTCCATCAGTTGAAAACAGTTATTATAGTATGTTTCAGTCCATGTGGCAAACTTACAGTGACCCCATTCATTTCGGACTTTAGAACGCACTTCCGCAGCAAAGAAATCAATTCCATAATAAACAAAGACTGGTGTCCCGCATAAAATGGAAAGAGCAGCAGAGGTATCTAGAGACTCATCAAATGCTGTAAAACTTGCCATGCGGGGCTTCACATACAATTTGGCAAAAGAAACATCATCCTTAACACGGTAATCATAGTTTTCTGGTCGTCCTCGAGTTTCATTGTTGTTGATGTTGATGTAGTTCAAACAGTGAGAGGAAGGTGGAAGGGATCTTAAACGG